ATTAGGGGGGAGATTCACCCCCCGCTCCCGCCCGGGGGGCTCACGGGGTGGTAGCCCCCCGGCGGGTGGCGGGTGGCTCTTTTTTCCACCCGCCCAAATGGAAACCCTATTGTCGAGAACATTAAAATTCGTTTTCTTATATCTGAAATGCAAACGATAATCATAAAAATTCTCAGTCTTCGAACTAATACCATCACTTCTTTTTCGAAAATTTTGGACAGTTCTTGTTTCGACATCACTTCTTTTCGGATAACAAACATTTAAATACTGTACAGTCTTCATAAATTCCTTTCACATAACTCGAGTTTGCTTCAAATCCTAAAAAAATCCTTCCTGTGAATTCCAAAAATTATTTTTTACTCTGTTATGTTGAAAGTTATACCATTAAAAATTTCGAAAGTTCATATACCAAGTAATTAAAATACTTATATAAAAATTCTAATCTTCATGAAAATAGTAGGAAATTAGGTAAAACCAGAAAACAAATTGAAAACTAAACGATGAGTCCGAAGGTAAAAAATCACCAATCAGAATTTGGCCAAGACTTTTAGACTTCCGACTTTTGGCCAAAACCTGTGGGAGCCATCACAACGGCTGATAGAGGCGCATAACTTGACCAAGACTTGTGGGAGGCTTGGCCAACACTTGTGAAATCATGAAATTTGGCTAGGAATTGAAACCCGCAGCCGAGTTTGTCCTTTGTCTTGAGAAGAAGAACTTTGAGAGTGGGAAAGAACCAATCAGAACAGATGAATATTGAAATCGAGAATAATTGCTCCATAGCAGAGCCAACATAAACATCAGAAGAAACATTCACCGACATGTTTAAATAAACCATACCAGGAAGCATATTTATGAGAACTAAACATTATATCGACAAAACGGCATTGGAATTGCGAGTAGAAACATCCACCGAATGAAGCGAAAGGGTTGAAGTCATCGAGTGTTTGTGGGTCGCCCGTGCCTCTACCTGCAACGACAACATATGTGTAAACTAGTTCCAAAAGTGATTTTTGTAGCATGGTCTAAATGATGATTACGTCTTAGGGAGAAAACAACTTTTTTCCTGAGTGCGACCAAAAATCAATCGAAAAACTCACCTTAGTCCTCATATTCACGGTGCCAATTGCTTGTTTGTTCCAGGAGTGGAACGTTTCTTTTCCATGATGCCGGCATACCTGAAAGGTGTTGCCGACTGAGAGCATCAACAGACCAAACGGAACGACAGTAGCGAGGGACAATGGGCGCCAACTCGATGATTAAAAAATAGAATTTTTGGATAAGATGCGATATGGGATTTCGAAATTAATGATTATTAGAATTGAAAAATGTTGGATGTTTCATGAGAGAGTTGACTAAAGAGAAAGATAATAGACTTAATTAAAGGGGGACTCCGACCAAAAATTTTTATTGCATTAAAATGTGTTAAAAGTTATCTATTTTCCGAATATTATTGCGAAAAAATTCAAAAAAATCCGAAATTCCCAAAAAACGCCGTTGAAAAGAAAGAAAATTCAAAAAAAGGTGCCGCCGGGGGACAAGGATTTTCAGTGAGAAACCTAGGCCACGGCAGCGGGCGCCTTTCCTATGTGGCAAATTTTCCGGTTTTTTTTCAATTTCATGTCCGGCAGGTAAAAAACGTAAAAAACCGGCGCTATACTAGTTGGAAGGGGTCACTTTTTTTTTGCGATTTTTTCACTTTTTTCAAAAATAGTTCTCAAAATATAATTCTCGGATTTTTTGAACCATTTTTAGTATTAATACTTTTTTGAATAGCCTCAACAACAACAATTTATTTAAAACAACAAAACTTTGAAAAGTATGAAAACAAAAATTTAATTCAATGGGTATTTCTCCGAGATTTGCTTCCACAGCTCATAGAATTTCGACTCTTCGTGATACTTGAACATCCAAAGAGCCTGAAACCAGTGATCGTCCCAATTGTCTCCTCTGAGTCCACATTTGGGTTTGATTTCTTTCTTCAACTGGCTCCAAAGTGACTCAACACGTTGAGTGTGGACACCAGTTGTTGGATTCACGAAGTCCACTTCGGGCCATCCAGAGAATAAATAGAAGCTTCTAAGGCTTAAAAGAGCAGCCTGAGCAGACATTTTGACGAACTAGTTCAACTATTATAGGAGATGTAACTCGACTAAAACGTAAACAACAACAACAACTTTGAAATGAGCAATATACTGTTTTTAGCTTTTACCATTTTTACCTAAGCCTAGAACATTGAGGACAAATTCGCAGCTCCTCCGTTAAAACTATTGCCATTACTGAAATAGGCTTAGGCTTCCAGGAAAGAAATCTGCAAATTCAGAAGAAATTCTAAGTGAAAACGAAAAAAAATAATTGAAATGTTTGAAAAAATGAAAAAAAACTGCTAAAAAATTTTTGATGGCATCAGAAAATCCGAGAATTATATTTTGAAAGCTATTTTTTGGAAATTTTCGGCAAAAAATTTTTTTTCAGAAAGAAAATTTTTTTTGATGGAAAATTATTTGTGTCCTAACAACTTAAAAACATCATAGAAATAATCAGCGATCATTTTTATGTCGAAAAAAGTGAAAAAATCGCAAAGAAAAGTGACCCCTTCCAATTAGTATAGCGCCAAAAAACCACTGTCGGCGACTTGAAAAAAAGGCTGTCATTTGCCGTGGCCTAGGTTTCTCACTGAAAATCCTCGTCCCCCGGCGGCACCTTTTTTTGAATTTTCTTCCTTTTCAACGCCGTTTTTCGGGGATTTCGGGTTTTCTTTGAATTTTTTCGCAATAATATTTGAAAAATAGATAAATTTTAACACATTTTAATGCAATAAAAATTTCTGGTCGGAGTCCCCCTTTAACAAGAGAATAACAGACTTAATTAACAAGAGAAAAGAGAATGGCGCCCAATGGCTCACTACTGCCGCCCGTGATCAATAGTCATCAAGGTCAATGTTGTCAAACGCGTCTTCTAAATCGACATGTGCCAGATCTACTCTATAACGAAGAAGACCCCCGATTCCTCCGAATCCTCGAACAAATTGAGCACCTTCTTGCGATTTGTCTGTAACGATTTTCAAAGCAGCTCCAAAAGTCTGAAAGAATAATTATTTAAGATATTTATATGGAATAGGGATTTACCTTGTAGTTGTTTGCAAACCATTCCAACAATGGCATAGTCTCGATGATTTCCATGTCTTGTCCAGATTCCTTGTCGGTGAAATGGGTTTTGTCTTTCTCTTCATCAGGTCTCAAGTTCAACAGTATGTCTTCTCCATCCGAATTCTTCATTTTGTACCGAACAATATGGTCTCCACTTCTCTGCTTTTGCTGACGACATAAAACTCTATTCCCAAGATCCCTTCCTTCTACAATCTGGAATCAACACTATAGATACCTGGGCCACAAACAATAAGCTTCCTCTAGCTCATACAAAGACTTCTTTTCTACGCCTTGGTTCAAGAAACAAGCACGCTCCCCCCTTCATCTCCTCCTCAGCTATTGATTCTTCTGACAATATTCGTGATCTAGGACTTATTACCGACTCCAAACTTAAGTTCACCCAACACATAAACAAATCGGTTGCTGTTTCACTTCTCCGATCCAAACAACTTTTGAAATCTTTCAAATCCTCCAACCCCTCATTCTACCTTCACTTATTCAGAACCTACGTACTCCCCTCTCTTGAGTACTGTTCAGTCTTCTATTCTCCTCCCCCAATTCCAAACTTATACTAAATTATCATTCGACGCAGACATTCCATCTTCATCTGTGAATTTTAAGGCATCACGACGAGTTGCAACTTTTGAAAGAACTATTGGGAAGAAAATTGTGGTTTTCTTTTTTGCTTGTTTTTTGATAACTTCAAAATCTCTGACGAGTCGAAATGGATGTTTTGTGTAGTCTCTCCTGGTAAATATATCCAGTAAATTGAACATTGTTCTTATATCGAAAAGTTTTTCAGTTGAATCCTTTTCTAGAACAAACATCCGTTCGGTTTAATTTTCCAACTAGTGAATAGGATTTCACAAATATCTAAAATGTAAGAATAACTTTTCGAGAAGTCCGTTCCGACTCTGTGAACCCATTTCCAGAGGTTTCGATTCGACGAAGGAAGAAGGCGCCACTTCTATTTCCGGTTTCACTTCTTCTCTTATTCACTTTTTTCTGATCTTCTGACATGTGCGGAATGGCCTTTTTTCGGAATTTCGCAAAATTCCGATTTTAAAAATTTCGGAACCTCGGAATCTTTCGATTTTCAAAAATTCGGAATTTCGGAATATTCCGATTTTAAAATTTTCGGAATTTCGGAAGTTTCGGAATTTTTCAAAATTCGAATTTAACAGCGGAAATTTCAGTTTCCCATCACAAAAACGCAAGAATCTTTTGAAAATTGACAGAATTATTTTGACAGCGCAAAAAAAATATCAAAATTACTTCTGTTCGAGACCCGCAGGTAAATTTTTCCTGGCATACTGTACTCGAAAAAATTTTAATTCCGAAAAAAATGCTTCGGAAAAATTCCGGTCGGAATTTCATTCCGAAAAAATCTTTCGGAAATATTCCGACCGGAGTTTCATTCCGAACTTTTTTCTCGGAATTATTCCGGTCGGAATTTTATTCCGAAAATGGTCGGAATTTTCGGAATTCCGAATTCCGTTCCGAACATCCCTGCTTCTGACTGGAAAATGTTGCAACACCATACTTTATGAAATAGGAAGCAAAAGTTTGAAAATTAAGGGTTTTCTGGAAATTGTCTTGAAACCTTGAGTGTCCGTTGATAACTGGAATCACATCACCAAAAAATGTTTAACGATCCTCAAATTAGTGGATCAGTGAAATCAGACCTGGGACAAACTCAATATGAGGGATCGAGTCAAATACTAGGGATTTTGCTTTTTTTTGCTGTAGAAGAATAAAAAAATAAATTTGAAATTTAGGTCATAATCTAAAAATTAAAAATCTAGGTCATGACCTAAAAATTAAAAATCTAAGTCATGACATAAGAAATTGGAATCTAGGTCATGACTAAAAACTGGAACCTAGGTCATGACCAGAAAAAAATCTAGGCTATGACCTGAGAATTGGAATCTAGATCATGATCTAAAATAAGATATCTAGGTCATAACCTAAAAGTTGAGGACCCAGGACCCCTCTCTTCTCTGGAGCCCAGAGAGGAGGGAGAACTGATTCTTCCATTCATTTCGTTCTTCCTTTATATTACTCTCCCAGAGGTCAATGGTTTCTAAACCAATTCACGTAGACATTTTGGTCTAGAATTTTGAATTTTTTTTGATCGCTCCTTTTAATCGACTTTTCTCGTTTCCTGTTTGAGATATTAAAAACTTGTCAACTGATGGAATGTTTCTGATATCAAGATAAACAGTTTCGCTTGCAAAATTTTAAATATCTTTTACAGGAATCGAAGTAAAATTGGTCAAAGTTGAACCTTCTTGGCCTTATAGTACCCGTAATCTTTCAAGAAGGTTTTGTAAATACTTGTTTAGGAAATTGGCGGCCGACAAAAAGCGGGCTCTCGTCAACCATTTTGCTTTTGACAACCGCGCAGTGGCCACATCAACATCTCAACTGAAGGTTCTGGAAGAACATCTATTCTTTCCTCTCCTTTTTCTGTGTCACTGGCATGGCGCTCAACTGGTTGCACGCCGAACCGTTATGCAGAAGGTTTCCGGTTCGGTATTGGTGGCAGCCAATATCTTATTAAAAAACCCAAAAGTCGACAGACCGACACCGGTACGTACAGACGCGTCTAGCGTTTTTTTAAATAAGGAAGAATTCCTACTTCAGTCTATGAGGTACGTTCAGAATTAATTACTTCGGACAGTAAAGTACTTTCCAGGGCCGCGCGAACGCAGCCCCGTTACGCAAAAATTGAGCTGTTGGCGAATCTCAACTCGAGACTGCCACACAGGTCAGCCCATCCAAAAGTGCAATGGATAGGCCTCGCCATGGAGATGCCGCCTTCATGATCGCGGAATGCCCCCAGCCAGGTAAGTTTATGAGTCGCCGAGCTGTGGGGGTATGGGTGCCGAGTGTCCCGACATCTCCCGGGTTCCGCCGTCCACTATGTTTAGCGTGTGAAGTGGGCGGAGTCTTGGGGCGAGGAGAAAAAGAAGAAGAGTATGAGCTAGGATGATGTTGGGAGTTTCCTGGTCAGAATTTCGCACTGTTTCTTCCAGGGATGGAAATATCGAAATAAAGATGAACCATTTTTTATTATTTCTTGTCATATTGTTTGATGTTGAATTTGTAATCTGAATCAAATTACACAAGTTCATAGAGGATTTTCATTGAACAATCAAATAAAAACACATGAATAATAATTAACATTTGACACTACTAACACAGAAATTAAGTAAACACCGGATGTATGTTAGACGACTAGAAAAGGAGACGATTGGCTGGATCATACTCGAGTTTGTCGAGATTTGGAGTGCAGGCGAAATTAATCATTGGTGGTGGGCCGCACATCAGGACAGCCGAATCCGGTCCTGGTGGGAAGAGGTTCTCCTGAAAGAAAAGTGATGTAAAAAATAATTGAGCTAAATTACACGAACCTTGATCATATTGTCATTGATGAATCCAGAGGAATACTTCCAAACTGCTGGCGGTCTGTCGATAGTATACCAAACACGGAAGCGGTCTGGATGCTTAGCCTCCAAATCATCGAGCTCTTGTCTACACAGAATATCATCTTCTGTCTGATTAGCGAATAAGAGTCTGATCTGTGTGGAATCGGTTGGATCACGAAGAATCGCTGCGATAACTTGAAGCATAGGTGTGATTCCTGTTCCTCCCGCAATCATGGACAGATGTTTGAAGCTGCGATTTGTTGGTTCCGATTTTTTGTCGGCTTTCAAACTGAAAAGTCCCTGTCCCTTGTAGACAATGTTTCCTTGTGGTCCACGGAAGCTGATCGTGTCTCCGATCTTGAGGCTCTCCAAGTATTGACTCATTTTCCCACCATCTGGGAACTTTTCATTGGTATTCTTGAAATAAACCTTGACCATCAAATCGACGAATCCCTTGTCTTCGTCACTGGATACTGGAGTATATGGACGAACGATGAGCTTTCCATCGATCTGGAAACAAAAGTTATGTCAAACATATCCGAGTTCATTGCACTCACCGTAGCACTGAGGTAGACGTGTTGTCCAATTGGAAGTCCAAGAATGTGATCCTTGGATGGAAGTCCAAATCGGAACTTTCTCGTATCATGACTGATCTCGAACTTTTCGATTAATGGAAGTGAGTATTTGACTGAATCATCGAGAAGCGTTCTTTTTGAAGTCTGAAGGCGTTAATTTAGGTTAACTGAATAAATGTTATTATCTTACTTTTTTACATGCTGAAAACGGACAGGTTTTTGTAGTCTTCAGGTACAAGTAAATTGCAATACTAGAGACCACAACGACACCTCCAGTCACAAAAAGAGTGTTATTTTCGACCATCCTATCTGCAAAGCGGTTGATTTTTTATAATTAGTGGTTGAAATCAACAAAAGAGAATTTTAGGCGGTCTACTACTTCTCTAAGTTATGTCGATTTTCACGTTTTCCGTCCTTATCAGGCATCGATTGATGAAAGAAACTCATCATGACATGCCACTCGGTTTACTTTGTCCTTTGTCTTGAGAAGAAGAACTTTGCGAGTGGAAAAGAACCTATCAGAACAGATAATTATCTAAATCGAGTATAATTGCTTTATAGCAAAAACAACGTAAACATCAGAAAAAACAACCACCGACATTTTAAAATAATCCATACCAGGAAGAATATTTATGAGAACAAAAAATTATATCGACAAAATGTCATTGGAATTGCGAGTAGAAACATCCACCGAATGAAGCGAAAGGGTTGAAGTCATCGAGTGTTTGTGGGTCGCCCGTGCCTCTACCTGCAACGACAACATATGTGTAAACTAGTTCCAAAAGTGATTTTTGTAGCATGGTCTAAATGATGATTACGTCTTAGGGAGAAAACAACTTTTTTCCTGAGTGCGACCAAAAATCAATCGAAAAACTCACCTTAGTCCTCATATTCACGGTGCCAATTGCTTGTTTGTTCCAGGAGTGAAACGTTTCTTTTCCATAATGCCGGCATACCTCAAGGGTGTTGCCGGCTGAGCGAAGAGCATCAACAGACCGAACGGAACGACAGTAGGGAGGGACAAGGGGCGCCAACTCGATGATAAAAAATAGAATTTGTGGATAAGATGCGATATGGGATTTAGAAATTAATGATTTTGAAATGATACTATTAGAATTGAAAAATGTTGGATGTTTCATGGGAGAGTTGACTGAAGAGAAAGAAAATACAGACTTAATTAACAAGAGAAAAGAGAATGGCGCCCAATGGCTCACTACTGCCGCCCGTGATCAATAGTCATCAAGGTCAATGTTGTCAAGCTCGTCTTCTAAATCGACATGTGCCAGATCTACTCTGTAACGAAGAAGACCCCCGATTCCTCCGAATCCTCGAACAAATTGAGCACCTTCTTGCGATTTGTCTGTAACGATTTCCAAAGCAGCTCCAAAAGTCTGAAAGAATAATTATTTAAGATATTTATATGGAATAGGGATTTACCTTGTAGTTGTTTGCAAACCATTCCAACAATGGCATAGTCTCGATGATTTCCATGTCTTGTCCAGATTCCTTGTCAGTGAAATGGGTTTTGTCTTTCTCTTCATCAGGTCTCAAGTTCAACAGTATGTCTTCTCCATCCGAATTCTTCATTTTGTACCGAACAATATCCAAATTCTCCCAGCAAATGAGAGTCTCGACGGCACCCATCTCCAGAGCAGCAAGGGTATCTTTGACTCCAAACACGTACTTTCCGGTATCTTGACTGATTTCATCGAAATAACCTCCGATTAGTTTTTTCTCCTGGATGAACTTGACACTGGCAAGAGTATCAGCAGCCAGTTCAATAGCTTGGTTGAAGCCGTTCTCTCCACCATAAGCAATGTCGACAGTCTTGATCATTTTTGCTTGAAGTCTTTGATCGAACATATCGGATTGACCGAGTTCCGTCTTGAAATCAGCACTTCCAGCAAGGATTAATCCAGAAACGGTGACTTTGTCATTTTTGATGAACATTTCAACAGCGTTTTCAGCGACTTTGCGAACGTAGTTGTGACGCTTTTCGTTACGAAGACGAGCAAACCGAACAGCAGACTGTCCTCCTCTACCGTGTTTCTTTGGCAAATCGACAGTAAACTTGTGAAGAACTTCACGAGTATTTCCTTGGAGTGTTCCAAACAAACAACCGTTACCATCCATGATAATAAAACCAAACTTATTATCGTCAGCAAGAAGACCTGCAAAATATAACTTTTGATATTTAGATTAATTTCGCATTAATTACCTTGCAAAGCTTCAGTGTGGAATTTGTTGTCACAAAGGTATAAGGAGGTGTTGATTGGCTTGAAAGGTTCGAAGTCGATGTTGACTTTCTTTTCTTTTCCTTCATCCGTCATGATTGTTCCACAATAGACCACTAGCCCATTCGGTGGAACCCTGTTGTAAAGCTTCAGTCTCTGCTGTACAGATGTAATAGCTCCCAATACAGACAATCTGTTCACACGAGATTTGATGTTAGAGGCGGTTCCATATTCTTCAGCAAGCATTCTGTTGATTCTAGCTACTTGATCTTTTGGAGGAATGATAAGCGAAATCATGGACGTTCCGTTTCTGAAATACACATCGAATGACTGCATGATGTTTTGACTAACCCTCGAGCAAGTTCCAAACTCTTAATAAGCCGCTTGATCTTCCACATTTCGACGTTCCTGTCGGCGGCATCGTCGCTTCCGGCGTTAGCACCTGCTGCAGGAGCGCTCATTTTTCTTGGTGCTTCTAGGCACTTAACACCTGGAAAATTCACAATAGGGTTTGGGGCTTTGGAAAAGTGGGTAAAAAGAATAAGAGCCGAACACTCTAGACACTGAGATTCTAAAATATAATAAAATGACTTATAATGCAGCCACAGTCTGAGGGTTTTTGTTTTGCAAAACATTGAGTCATTTTGCATAATATTGAGTCTATGAATAAATTGTTGCACAACATTATGAAAACTTGGATCTCTAGGATGGATGAAAGCTTTGGAAAGATTCAAACAAGAAATTTCAAAATTCGGTAATTATCCTTTTTTTGAGCTAATAAAATCGATATTTAGTGACGTCAGCCATTGAAAAAAAAAATTGAAAATGGGGAAAATAATTCAAATGGTACCAAGGCTACAAGATTACGGTTTTTGAGTAGGTCTTAGCGCGAAAAGCGTTCCGACAGTCCATACTTGCTGCAGTAGAAGAGCGAGCGCAGGAGACGGCCACGGCCGCAAAAACACGATTAAAAAACTCTTTCGAAAATAAGTTTATCCGGTGGTTCCAGCTGGAATCTGCTTTGATTTGTCATAATTTGCTATTTTCTAGTCGACTTTTTAAGATGGGATGATTATATTTTTACAGAAAATGGAGGAATCGATTTCCGCCAAAAAGAACTCGGAGAAGAAAGCTCGAGTTTTCGATCTGCAAGCCATGATGGCTCAAGCGTTAAGTAATGCGCCGCGATCGGAAGAATCTGCTCATACACAACAATCTGCGTCGCTTCCTTCCAGATCGGAGTCAGGTGTCTCTTCCTCGGCTGTTTCAGATGACGACGACGATGGTAAGTAATATTTTCGCGTTTTAAGAACGAATCAATGTGGTTTCAGATTTCATGCCTGCGCTTCCTCCTGGTTTCCAGAAAAACAACGACGAAGCTGGACCATCTTCTTCAGCTGTGGACAATACTGAAGATAGCGACGATAGTGATTTCGACGAGACTGACGCTATTTCCATCATCAAATTGATTCCTGCTGCTTGTGAGGCAAAAATCAGACATGGAACGCAAGCAATAAGTGCTCTTCGGGTTGAGCCTCCCGGTGTTCGTTTTGCTAGTGGTGGTCTTGATTATTACGTCAAGCTATTCGACTTTCAAAAAATGGACATGTCTTTGAGACACGACAAAGAATTGCTTCCAGCCGAGAGTCATGTCATTAACTCTTTAGCTTTTTCACCCAACGGTGAAACCCTTGTCGTGGCCAGTGGAGAAGCCATCATTCGCCTTCTCGATCGAGCTGGTAAACAATGGTCAGAAACAGTCCGCGGAGATCAATATATTGTGGATCTCAACATCACCAAGGGTCACACTGCCACTGTAAATTGCGTTGAATTCAATCCTCTGAACAAAAACGAATACCTCTCTTGTTCTGATGACGGAAGCTTGCGTCTCTGGAGTTTGGAAGATCATAAAGTTATCACGAAGTGTATCAACAAGCATAGAAAAGTCATCAAAACCAAAGGAGCACATGGGAAACGTGTCAGTCCACAAGTCTGTACATTCTCTCCTGATGGTAAATGGATTGCCGCTGGATGTGACGATGGATCTGTTCAAGCATGGAAATACGGATCGCAATATGTTAGTTCATGATTTAAGGTTCAACATTTATTTGCATAATTATAGGTGAACGTAAACTACCTCGTTCGGAAGGCACACAGCGGCTCCATAACTTCTATTGCATTCTCTCCGGATTCAAAACGGCTGCTTTCTCGAGGATTTGATGATACTTTGAAAATGTGGAGCTTGGAAAATGCCAAAGAACCTCTTCTAGTCAAAACAGGACTCGAAAATGCATTCAAAAGGTTTGAAATAGTGATTCGGAATTCAGTCTTAATTTAAAATTGTTTCAGCACAGATTGTGGGTTCTCTCCTCGCGCTGAAGTCGTATTCACTGGAACTTCATCTCCTAATAAGGACACACCTGGAACTTTGCAGTTTTTCGATCCGATGACTTTTGAATTAGTTTACAAAATCGACTTCCCGGGAGTATCCTGTCATCGAGTTCAGTGGCATCCTCGTCTTAATCAGATTATCGTCGGATTATCAGATGGAACAATTCATGTCTACTACGATCAGGCAATATCTCAACGTGGAGTCATGTCGTGCGTCACCAAGCCATTGAAAAGAAATCGAGCTTCAGAAGTTGTGCGAGAGGATATGGTTCTATCGCGTAAGTTTTGATCCAGATTTATCATGAAATTAATTAAAATATTTTCAGCACTGTCTTTGGAAATGTTCCAGCCTCGTGGAGAAGAAGGGGAAGAGAAGGAGGTTACTGGATGGCGAATCAAGAAATATCTTCGAATGCAAGATAACAAGTTGCGTCCAGAGTTTCGAAAGCCTGCCGACATGCCAATCAACGGAAAAAGTGCGAATGGACGTGTTGCTGCAAGTGGAGGCAGTCTTCATTCCTACTTGGCAAAACAGATTGGAACTGCTCGTAACGCTGAGTTCTTGCGAGATACTGACGTTCGTGCTAGTATTTTGAAACACGCTAAAGACGCTGAAGAAAATCCATTGTACATTGATAAAGCGTACCGAAAGACTCAACCGAAAAAGATTTTCCAAGATACAACAGTCGAGCCAGAAGACCAAGACGACGAAGAGCTGCAACCTGTATTCAAGATGCCAAGAACGAAGTAATACAAAACACACTGATTTACGTTCCATGATTCGATTACTGTGTTTTCTGTCTACCAGTTACTTTTTTTCTGTTATTCTATTATTCTGTGTGTATGTTTTCTGTCTTCATTCCCATTATAATAAAAAATAAAAGTCATAAGATTGCATTTGGAGAATAGTTCCAGTCATTCTTCTTGTTCAAATATCTCATTGAGGTACACTCTAGCCTGCTCCATTCTGTCATTCTTCTCTTTTCTCTCAACTCGCATCGTCAACAAAATGTGTAGGTCACTCACTGACTACATGCGTGTTCTCAGTACTCTGCCCAAAAATGCTGTGCCTTTTTCACCTGATGATGATTTAGGTTATAAATATTTCGTTTTTTTTTTCAATTCGAACTAATATTACAGTCATTAGTGAATATGCTCCCACAATTTTTTTTTTCAAAAACTGAGATCGAGTTGGTGGTACGATAGTTATTGGTGTTCAGATTCAATTTCACACATTTCCGCTTTTAATTTTTCTCAATTTTTATTCAATCACAAAAAAAACTGTAGCACGAAAACAAACAAAATCGAAAGAAACAACTGAACAATGTTTTCTCGTTTTCTCACTAAAAACAACCTTCGTCGTCCTTGGAATATTTTCCCTTTTCTCCTCTTGATCGGTCAGTATAATCGTCTTCTCGTTCGTTGCTTGATGTGTTATCACATACTTCAATCAGGATCTTTCTATTTTCGATTTTTACGAATTCAGCTTTTCTCAAAGAGTTTCTACCTTGCACCCAGTTGCTAGCCATTCTTTATTAGGCGATCAGTTCTCATTAAGTTTCTAGATGTGGTTCATAAAGCATTATAGGACATCTGAAGAAACACGCCCAGATTTTATCCAATGACATCATTCTGTCCATTGTTTCATCCAGCCGGATTCTTGCGCTTGAAAATAAGCTGATTTTAGTTTTCAGTCTTCAATTCTTCGAATCAAATAGTTCAAGAGATCTTAAAACCAAATAATCTGTCATTTTGAAGTTTCTCCGAAAAGTTTACACAACCTTCAATTTATATTTCAAAGTTTCCTATAACTGCCTTTTTCCGCTGACTGCGATTAAAATATTTCACTTCGTTGATTGGTTACTTGTTTGCGCGAATGTCGTCATGTGGTCATCATTTCTGACCGCTGCTTCTTTTACTTCTTCTTCTCCGAATATATTTTTTTTTTCAAAATTCCCTGCGTCACTTCCCTTCGGCCTTCTTTCAGCAATTTATTTAGCCAGCTGAAATTGATAACGATAACCGGCCAGTATAAAACCTCGGTTGAGTGCCGAAGGTCAGGCTAACTACTTCATAAACTTTTTATTTTTTTTCCCATCTCTATCAATTAAGAAAGGAAAATTTTCAAGAATTTTCAGAAATGGGATTCACTGAACTTGTTGAAACTCAACGCAAATACTTCCGCACCGGAGTGACGAAGCCAGTTCAATTCAGAAAGGAACAACTTCTGAAGCTCAAGAAATTCATTGAAGAGAATCGTGAAGCTTTGTCAGAGGCTGTCTGGAAAGATTTGAGAAGAGTGAGTATTTGGATAGTTCAATCTTTTTGATTGTAACTATTTTTCAGCGTCATGAATCTACGGAAATCCTCGAAATCGGAATGACCATTGGGGAAATCGACTACTTTTTGAAAAATATTGATGATTGGGTGAAGCCAACACATGTTGAGAAAACGTTCACAACTGCTCTTGACAAACCAGTCATTGAAAAAGATCCAAAAGGAGTTGTCCTAATCGTTTCCCCATGGAATTATCCGGTCTCTATGATTCTCCTCCCAATGGTTCCAGCGCTTGCCGCAGGAAATACGGTAGTTATCAAGCCATCCGAGTTGTCTGAAAACGTTGCGGCAACTTTCGAAAAACTGATTCCAAAGTACTTCGAGCCGAAATATGTAGCAGTTGTGAATGGAGGAATCCCAGAAACCACCGATTTGCTAGAGGAGAGATTCGACCACATCCTCTACACTGGTTGTCCACCAGTTGCCAAAATCATTATGACGGCCGCAGCAAAGCATTTGACTCCAGTTACTTTGGAATTGGGAGGAAAATGGTGATTATTAATTCTTCTGAATTCTTTGTCTAATTTTTTTCTTTTCAGCCCAGTTGTCGTGGAGGATGACACTGATATCGATATCTCCGCAAAACGTATCGCATGGGGAAAATGGCTTAACTGTGGACAGACATGTCTCGCACCAGACTACATTCTTGTCAATAGCACTGTGAAGCCGAAGGTTAGTTTTTTCTTCACGATTTCTCTTACTTTTGATCACTGATTTGCAATGGTCACATTTACTGATAACAAGACATTTTGTTTATCAGAATAAAAATGGTTGGACAAATAAAATGAAACATATGATAAGACTACAACACTAGACTACAAAAACTTTTTCCAGCTTGTTGCTGCTATCCGCAAATACATTAACGAATTTTATGGAGAGAATGTGAAGGCTAGCAAGGACTACGCAAGAATCATCAACCAGAGACATTTTGAGTTAGTCAATCACTTATTGTGAACAAACCGAAAAAAAATTCCGATCCTTTTGTGTCACAATAACTTTGAACATCCCCTTTTCAGTCGTATCACTGGTCTTCTTGAGAAAACACAAGGAGCAACTCTCATTGGAGGAGAAAGCGACCGTGCCGATCTCTTCATCCCACCAACTGTTCTGGACGTCGAGAAGAATGATCCATTCATGCACGATGAAATTTTCGGACCAGTTCTCCCTATTATCACTGTCAAATCATTCTCAGAGTCTCTCGAGTACATTGCCGACGGAGAGAAGCCGCTGGCTGCGTACATCTTCACGAAAAATGAAGCCAAAGTGAAGAGACTATTGAATGAAACAAGCAGTGGTGGTGTCACTGTGAACGATGTGCTCATGCACATTACAGGTACATTCACCAGAAAGTTGACCTACTTTCGTTGACTTTTTTTCAGTGGATACTCTTCCATTCGGTGGTGTTGGAGTTTCTGGAATGGGTCGTTACCGTGGAAAGTTTGGATTTGACACTTTCACTCATGAGAAGTCTGTTCTTCACAGAGGATTTTTCGGAGAGTCTCTGCAAGCGTATGTACTACCCAATTAAGACGAAAAACATCCAAAATCAAAAACTTCAGCTCCCGTTATCCTCCTCTGAATCAACAAAAACTTGACCAAATGCGAAAGTTGACTGGCAAACGCATTTCGTTGAATCTCATCAACGTGGCTACACTTCCTATTGTAATGGCATCGTTCGTGTTCGGAATGCTCTTCCAGGTATGCCGCAAAAGCCTCTCCGATTAGCCACTAATACCGTCAGCACCAGCTTCACTAGAACCCAATGCACACTAACCTAATTTCAGAGTTGTTCTAGAAGAAGGGAGGATGACTGAATAGTGCAAAAATACGTGAATGCATGTTTTAGTCCATTTTTCTTTGTTCGTTCAATGTTGTGTGATGTGATTAACTAAATAAGTCTTAATAAATAATTATTAACATGTATTGTAAACATGTCTTATTCGTTTTCTGACACTATTTTCTGTATTTTCTGAATAACCTAGTGTCGCTTTGCCATTATCTATCAACTTATAATCGTTTCACTCAAAAATAATCGTAGTTTCAGTTCATTTTCCGCTTCTCGGCGTAAAATCAAGACTGGCTGGTGGTGGTTGCATTTGCGAGACGGTGTACGGTAGTAGGAAGTGTTTGCGGATTGTATGTGCGGTTCAATGTATCACCCTCACGTATTTTCGCACTATGTCTCTCCTTTCTTCTGTCACCTATTTTCTGATTTACAAACTTTCCTAGTCATTTTTTTCTCGAACTCTTTAACCAACATTCCAATCTAGTCCATAAAACATTTGCATGTAAAAACTTATATTTCGATATTACCTATAGACCAATCACTAATAGTATATCTCTCAACAATCCTTTTATTCGTTTTCAGAAATATGCCCGCAATCTCCATTAATAATTCTTCTGAAAAATATGTATTTTTCTTTTCATTTGCTTTTCCGGATTGTAAATTTTTCTTTTCTTGATTATCTAATAAAATACATTATTGAAATCATGTCTTTACGAATCGTTTCAGGCTGTATCTCCTCTATTAGTTTTTCGTTCAGTTTTTTTTGTCGTTCGCCATTTCAACTCAACATTTAAGTATTTATTAAAGCTTCAGGTATGTTCCGCGCAGTTCAATCAGTCCGCTCACTCTCCACCACCGCGGCTTGCCGCCAGGATTTGATCCAGCAGACCTTTGTCACCAAGATTCGCGAAATCGCCAAGAACGCCGGTAACCTTGCCAACTCGGACCCAGCCGTCAAGAAGGCTCTCCAAGAAGAACTCAACAGACTGGCCACCAAATTCCAACTCGCCAACGCCGATGTTGTCTCCAAGCTTCCAACAAACTTCGAGACAGCCAAGGTAACTTTTAACCAATTTCATTATCCGTTTCTTCGAAATGCATTTCAAGAAAAATTACAAAAGTTTCCGTTGGACCACTAATTTTTTTGACATTCCACCGATTCCGAGAAAGGGGTTGTCTCCGAGGAACCGATTCCGAGGGAATCGGTGGAGTGTCAATTTTTTTCGGCAAAAAGTATACAAATATATCATAGGCGAATGATAACTCGAATATCTTTCTAATAGAATGCAGGGGATGAAAATGGAATATATGGTTTTCGTTTAAAAAAATCTGTTGAACTTTTCCTAAATATATGTTATTTTTCGTGTTTTTGAAACAGAATGTCATTACTTGAAATTCCACTGAAAACAGGATATAGGATAATTCTTGCCGGAAGAGGCTTCTTTAGAAAACAGATAATTTTTCAATTTGAATACAAAAAAGCAAAATTTGAAAACTCTGAAGAGATAAAATATATTCAGAATCGTTCTTTGCCATATTTAGTTTTTAAATAATTTTCAGGTTGATTCCGCTGTTCAATCTGCTCTTGAGGGACAAACATTGGCTCAACTTATTGAAGGAGTTAAGAAGGAGCATTCTGAATACATTGCCTCCCGTGATGCCAAGAAGGCCGAGCAAGCTGCTCGTAACGCTGCCCTCAAGCAATAAGTCTGAACTCTCGATTATAAATGGTGTATTGTTCCTTTTTTGTAATAGATCTTTTATAGATTTTTGAACCGAATGAACGTTTTTGTTTCATACATGAAGCGAGTTCCTGACTTGTTGCTCCCTAAGTTTCCTGTTGTTTTCTTCACAATAGCTTACTTCTCTCAGCTGACAGTGTTTTTGATAAAATACTAGTTATCAGCATTTTTCGAATGAAAATCACGGGTTGTTCAGTTTTCATCAAGCATACAAACTCAAACAGTTTTCGTCCTCAGAAGACATTAGTGGGTGACGGGGTGACTAAGAGGGTGCCTTGGACACCCAATTTGCTTGCGCACATTCAAACTGCAACCGTCTGTTTGAATTTGCTGCGCTCTGTTTGAATCGGCTACGCGACCCAATTCATATTCTTTTGCAGGGTTCGCGTTTTTCAAAATGGATACAAAACTCTAGTCACACTAGCTTTAGTCAAGGTTAGCAAATTCTTTATTTTTTTTCAATATTTTAAAAACTAAATTTGTTAGGATGGTCGATTTTAAAAAGAAGCAAACCACCAGAATTGTTGTACGAAGTTCTCGAAAAGACGTTTCATCAGTGCCACAACGAGAGCTCAAAAAGCGTAAGGTATGTTGAAAATAGCCAAAGTTATTGTGGGAATATCAAAAGGCGGGGCGAAAGAAGGTCATTACCAATATGACATCATCGTGACCCGATGAATGGTGCTCGTTGGGGGGGAGATAAGACCGGTCCCGTCTTTTCCCTTCAAGTTAATCTACATGGGCCGCACGATTCTTCTTACTAGATATATTTCTCTTTGGCAGCCACTCTTTAAGTCGGTAAGAGTGAAAATTTCGATATTTGTGAATTTAAAAAAAAAAAAATTTTTAATTTTTATGTTTTCAGAGTGTACACTTTGAAGAGGAAATATGCGAGGGTGCAGTGGCAACATCCCAATTTGTGACAAAAACTAATCGTGAATGGACATTTGTTGCAACGAGCTTGTAAGGAAAACAGTTAGATTTTTAAAAAAGCAATTGTCAATTTAGTGATCTCCCACACGAGAATCGTGTCGTGAAGCGAGAGGCAGGAGACAAAGAACTTCTAGTTCTCTGTAACTACTCCGACAGTAGCGAAGATGTTCCAGATTTCGATGGTACACCATAAATTTTTTGACAACTTCAAATAACTGATTTTCAGATGATTCTGACGACCAAATCCCTTTCAATATTTTTGCTGAGCAAGGGATGCGTATATCATGGCAATCAGGAACGAAGTAAGTGGATTAAAAAAAATAAATCGAGGTTTCCATCTTTCCAGCAGTTCGAGTGTTAGCACGCTCCGTATTACAAGTATGCTTCGAATAGAGAGCTGCCGACAAGATATTTCGCCCTTCGAAGAGTGAGTGATTAGTAAAAAAGTGGTAAAAGAGTTTTATTTGCTTCAGATCTGAAAACATCCGTCGATCAAGCTACTCCAGTGGAAACGACGACATAGAAAAGGCTTTTCAAGGAAGTTTATCATGTTCGAATGGTAAAAAACATAGCAGATCCCGAAATCCATCCACAACTGAGAAAAATGACGATTTCGAAAGTGGAGACTTTTGGGACATCGTCGAATTCTAAGAAAACATCATATCAAACAACCCTATCCATCTACTCATTGATCATCAGTCATTCATTAAAAAAAGCTTCCCGTTTCCCTCGAAAAAATGTATCGGTACCCGCCTCCGTATGTGGCCTATAATTGGTTATATGTTAAACTGTATTTCCATTACTGATCGAATTCACTTCTGTTCTATTACCCATCATGTTCTTATTCTACTCACTGACACGATCATTCTCAGTCAATTTTCATTCCACACCCCCCTTAATTCCGAATCTTAATTTATTCACCCTCGATTCTCCGGGATGGGGAGAATGTCTCAGGAAAGCCACCCATCCCCAATAAATTATTACATAACTTTTATTATGTGTGTTATCAAAAAAAAAAAACAATAACTGATTTGTGATTCATATCTGAGCAATGTGTATCAAACCAAACTTTAATTTTGAAAATCCAGATGGGACTGAAAAAGAAAATAGTCTCCAAACTTGCAAAAATTGCTGATAACGATTGGATTCCCAACGAAGAGCATCTCACAGAGCTGGTTCATCTTCTGGATGATGCGAAGGATGATGTATGATCCCTATTTTCGATTCCAATAAAAAAAAGAAATTTCAGACGGAAACCCAGGAAAAAATTCGAAATGTCGATCTAAAAGTGTTGACTAGCTTGCTGACAGCCTACCGAGCCACATGTTGCGATCTAGATATTGGGATTTATCAAGTGTTGCAAACGCTCGAGAAGTTCGGTACCGATTTCAGTGATCTACAACCCTTGGTGTTTGGGGATGAAGCTAGAAAAAACTATGACAATCTGAGGAAGATGGGATTAGATTTGCACGTCAGAATCACACCAGATGATGTGAGTGAAACAGGGAAGCAGTTTAAAATTTGAGACTTTCCAATTTCCAGGCTATCAAAACGTATTTCGACGCACCCACTCTTTGGAACACAGTGAAGTATCATATTCGACCGGTTAGTTTGAAAATCCGAAATAATCATCAACGGAATTACCACTTTAGGTCACAGAAGACAATGCGGAGAAAATCTACGATGTTCGTTTTGTACTTCGTTTCTTCAACTCCATCCTCTATCCAGCCTCTCCGGTTAGCATTTTTTATGTTTACGACTATTATTTGCTATTTTCAGCTCTCTTCAAAACTGTTTGTTGAACACAACTGTCTGGCTCTTCTCTTCTCGGCTACGTCGTCTTCCGATTCGTCTATTCGTGCGTTGGCTTTTGCGTGTCTTCAGAAATTCGTTAACCACCTACAAGAACTGAATACTGAAATATTCGCTGAAAAGGCGCTTGTTCTTTATCTCATTCGCATCTTCAAACATGGTTTCGACACTTCTGTACCTAGAGTCTCGAGCAGTGAGTTAGACTTCGGATTTTGATTAATATAAAATCAATGTACTGTTTTCAGTGATCACTCACTTCTTTGCCAGAGTTTCAAAGCTTATGTTGAACCCATCACATGATGTTTATCCACAGATCATGGCTTTTCTCTGCATGAAACCGATTTTTGATATTCAAAATGTAAGAATGTTAGATTCAGATTGCTGTTTCTTATACTTTTTTTTCAGGTTCCTGAGTTCTACAAACTTCTATTTTCGTCCTCTCCTGAACATCACACAGAGGAAAGAGAATGGCTATTGTCGTTGATTTCCGAAGCGATGCTTGAACCAATGGACTATCAAGTCCTTCAAAACAGAGCCGGAATCAAATTGCTGCTCAGCTCATTCGCCAGTGTTTGGTTGGATCGAAAAAGTAGATCACTGATTCTCCGAACTCTTCAAAACGCCGTACAAATGCCTTCAGTAGCGCACGATCTTTTTACGAGAGAAGGTCTACATATGTGGATTACATCTGTCATTCATGTAGGTGTTACAGATGATCCCAATGACATCCAATATCTTTCAGAGTGGTCGATTCAATCGATGGGAGAAAAACTATCTAGCCCAAGTGTTCTGCAGTCTTCTAGAAAACGAACGAAAATATCAAAGAGGAGAAAAAGGAAAAGAGCAGGCGTGCAAAGCGGCAACGGCTGCCTCCAGAATCTGCAGTAAGAAGATTTTATTGATACTCGAAGGTATTTCAAAGGATCCACAGTTTCCCGGAGAGCAAGAGAAAGCACTGGCATCAATTAATCGAATCGAGAAAGCTATTGGGAAGAAGTGGAAGAGGAAGAAGAAGTTCAACGCCGAAGAATAGCCTTGTTTTGTTTTCATTGTTGATTTTGTTATGTTATTGTTGTTGAACCATTTCTTATGAATCCAGTTTATTTACAACTATAAGTTAGTTCGTGTTTCACAGAAACACAAATTCCATCGTCACCCTCTTATTCCAGATTTCGTCAAGCGAATTTTAGGTTTATGCTTCAAGCAAGGCGAGTTTCCATCATCCAAACGAAACGTTTCTGGACTCTCATACATGCTGTACACACATCGTAGTCGATTCCGATCGTTTTGTTTTGTGAATTCGTGGGGATAAAGTTTGGGATCATAATAGGGCAGTGGGCCTCCATAGGGAGCTGGTGCACAGTCGCAGGATTGAGATTTCCACATAGTTGCCCAATCCGGATGCCATGAATACATGTGCTGGACTGCATCAAAACCGTCGAGCATTCCTGAAAACCATTCTCAATACTCTCTAACTTGAAAGATCTTTCAACTTACCTTTACAACTGAGAGTTCTTTCAGATCCAACAGGAACTTTGAAATATTTACAAAACCATTTGAATGCCTTGATTCTTCTTGATTCTCCGGGACCTCCTGGTTCATCTGGATCCTCACCTCCGCACTCGTTATTGATTATTAGACTTGTTGGTCCAAAAATCGCATCTCGGTATCCAGCTCTTCGATTTTTTTTGGATGGTTCCCAATCTCCAGTTACAATTTGATGCATAGATGGTTTCGGGGGTTGAGGTGTCATATAAAACCAAAGAGAAGCCATCATAGCCAATGGAGGATCCATTTTTGTCATTACAAGATTTGGATTCTCTAGCAAGTCGACTTTGACACCTTTTGTGAGTAGAAACTGTTGAAAAAGACCGTAGTTGTAGTTCCATGAGAGTTGAAGAGCACCTCGTCCAAAATAACATCCTTTGTGATAATCTTGGTCCGCATGAGATTCGATATCAGAATTACATGGATACCAGAAATCCAACATTGGATCACTCTTACAGTATCTTCCCTCTTCCACGCAGCGTTTTCCGTCGGCTGGTGAGAATCCAGGAGATGTCGGCGAAAGGAACGAAGAGTTTGGTCCTCGTTCAAACCAATTATAGAATCCACCTCGATAGAAACATTCATGAGCTTGTTCCAGGGTTAGGTCGGTGTTGCTGGAAAAATGAACAATTTTCAAATTTCAAAAAAGAATGATTTGAGCAATTTGAGTAATTGAATTTACCGAAAAAAAACCTGTATTAGAAGGGCCGGCCCTTCTATTACAGGAGCCTTACAATTAAAGGGCGCTCTTCTATTGTTCCGGCCAATTTTTTTTTCAAAATTCTCATCGAAAAATTCGCTGAATGCTCGTTTAAAATTCATGAAAATATCTCAATTTCATCAAAATTGAGCAAATTTTACAAAAACAAAAAGAATTTTTTGAACGATTATCGGATTTCCAGAATATTTTTCACTGAAACCGTATGGAAATTTTCGATATCAAACAGCATATTTTGAGGAGGTCCTTCTATTACAGGGGCCCTACTATTTTTCCAAACCCTTTTCATAGGGCCCTTCTATTAGAGGGGACCTTCAATTAAAGGGACCCTTCTAACATAGGACTTACGGTATAAGGAAAATATAGATCCCAGTGATAGAAAGTCCCCATCACAATACGTTGTTTCAAATTAAAAATTCCCGTATTTTTTCAGTGAAAAGTACTCCGTTTTTCACAATTTCACAGAACATTGTTGAGGAATTCTTTGTTGCTCAACAACTTTCTCAATTTTGAAAAATTAATTGATCTTCATGAATTTTAAACGAGAATTTTTCAAATGTTTCAATGAGAAGTTATGGAAAAAACAGATGGGAAAAAGGGCCCTGTGGAGGTATCTTCGAAGAGTAGAAAAGCCGACCTTCTACATAGAACAGGTTTTACGGTATCAAATCAGAAAACTTACTTGTAAACACTTGCATCGTTTTCACCAGTTTCCTGCAACGCATGAGCAAAAAATGCAGCAGCATCTCTTTTGTGATGCTCATCAGCTTTGAATTGTTTATTCGGATGGGATGCTCCAAACTCTGGGAAGTACCGAGCAGCAATTATGAAAGACTCGTAGGAGTACGGTAAGCATGGATGTGGTCCTCGTCCAATGTTGGATTTTGGAAACAAATCATCAAAAATTTGTTTTGTAAACCATTTTTCTAAAGGGGACTTGGGAAGATCGTTTGGATCTGATGGCTGGGCACAATCCTCTTCTGGTTCTTTACCGTATACTGGATGCTCTGGGCAAAAGTCCGGAGTCTCTCCTGCAATTTTGAGATTATGAAGACTCAGGATTAGACATAAAGATCTATAATCAGCTCACCTAAAATCGCAAAAGGTGTGAAAAGCAGGAGGAAAAGCAGTTGCATCGGACACCGATGCTTCGTCACTCAAAGTACAAATAGAGTCGTTTCTTCCCTAAAAGACGCCGACAGACCGGATCGTCGGACAAAACACGGATTATTGGGATGGAGGTGGGGTGGGGGGTAAGTGCGAGAGGCAAAGTGCGGAATGCTCGCGGAATAGAAGGAAATCGAGCTTCGACTAGTTTTGTTTGCTCATTCCTTTCCCACAACTTTTGGACATTTCTCTGTTTCTCACTAGCTAAATGGCAGCAATTTTTGAATTTTTAGGGAAGTGGTAAATTTTAACTAGAACGGTTTTGATGTGTTGTTTCAGAGACCTTGGAGATATGAAAGAGTTGTCAAATGACAAATTGTTAATCGTAATACACTGCTGGACATCATTATAAGTTCACTTTGAATTTCGAGTTTTCTCGAAAACTGTGAATATAGACTGAACAGCATATGAACGCAATAAATACTATTTTGAAATGTCAATTAATTAATACCATTCGATACCACTATCGTTTCTTGATTTTGGAAATTTCGAAAAAAACGGAAAAATGACCCGAAAAAAGGGACATAATTATAAGCACAGGTGATTCGCGAACAATCCGTTACGGACGCTCCGCGTTCGCGCGCGGTTGAAATAGGAACCGCATACGGACCGCACGCCAACCGTTTTCAGTAAATAGCCGTACATTATTCGGATTGATCCGTATCCTGTCCGTTCGCGAGCTCCGTATCCGATCCGATTGCGAATCATAACCAAACGGATCCGTTTGCGAATCAAATGTTTTATTGAGTTCGCAAACGGATCCGTTTGGTCATGATTCGCAATCGGATCGGATACGGAGCTCGCGAACTGATAGGATACGGATCAATCCGAAAAGTGTACTGCTATTTACTGAAAACGGTTGGCGTGCGGTCCGTATGCGGTTCCTATTTCAACCGCGAAGGTCCCCTCTAATAGAAGGGCCCTATGAAAAGGGTTTGTAAAAATAGTAGGGCCCCTGTAATAGAAGGACCTCCTCAAAATATGCTGTTTGATATCGAAAATTTCCATACGGTTTCAGTGAAAAATATTCTGGAAATCCGATAATCGTTCAAAACCGTAACGGACCCGTTCGCATTTTACCTGTGAGTTCACTTGAAACAATCGAGCATAACTCGGGATATAGGTTTTGCACTGTGAGGAAACTGCAAATTATAACAAGTATAACTCAATATAGTCCTATTAGCATAAGAAACTTGGTTGTATACTCATAATTATGCCTCATCCGTTTTTGGCCAGCTTATACTGAAAATAAAGTTTTCCGTTGATGAATGTTCTGAAAATCACGAGGACTCTAACTTTTTGAGTTTTTTAGTATTATTCTTAAATGCATTCCTCATTTAACTGTTGAAACATTATGATTTTTTCACCAACCCGAGAAAAAACCAGCATTTCAGCTCATTTTTATCGCTATGTTCCAAGTGGTACTGTACCTTGCTCAGTAGAAACTTGACTGAGCTAATTAGCATAAAAGAAAGATACACTCGTGTTTATTCAGAAACATACATAAAATCATAAAAATCTGTATTGGTGTTCATGGAATCACGCAAAGTGTCGGACCACATAAATTCCAAGCATAAAATTGGGTTATGAGTAGGCATGTTTAAGGAGTTGTTTTGTAAAGAAGGATACACGTAATCTGAAATTTCTTTTTGTAATCACACTTGCCGGTTATCGAATTTACATATAATTAGAAAAATTGTTTAAGTATTCCGGTATAGACAAACAATGAACCTTGGAAAACTGCAATTTTTTGAAAAACATACCCTATTTCCGAGCTCTCAATTTTTGTTTAGAATCAGTTTCACCTATTTTAAAGTTGCTGAACACATTGGAAAAGTCGCAAATAAAATATGCAAAAAGATTCATTTTGATAGGTCCACTACAAGTAAAAAAAAATCAGTCAGTAATCTACGTTTCTAACCTCAGAAGGTACTTCATATCTCTTCGGAATGATTGTTTCGAAAGGAGACGTCAACTACAAAAACATAAACTCGGACTTTTTCAATATGTTCAGTAACTTTAAAATAGGTGAAACTGTTTTTAAACAAAAATTGAGAGCTCTGAAATAGGTCATGTTTTTCAAACAATTGCAGTTTTCCAAGGTTCATTGTTTGTCTATTCCGGAATGCTTGAACAATCTCCCTAGTTTTCATGTAAATTCGAGAACCGGCAAGTGTGATTACAGAAAAATTCTAGATTACGTGTCTCCTTCTTTACAAAAAAACTCCGTAAACATGCCTATCCATAACCCAATTTTATGCTTGGAATTTATGTGGTCCGACACTTTGCGTGATTCCATGAACACCAATACAGATTTTTATGATTTTATGTATGTTTCTGAATAAACACGAGTGTATCTTTCTTATATGCTAATTAGCTCAGTCAAATTTCTACTGAGCAAGGTACAGTACCACTCGGAACATAGCGATAAAAATGAGCTGAAATGCGGGTTTTTTCTCCGGTTGATGAAAAAACCATAGTGTTTTCAACAGTTAAATGAGAAATACATTTTAAAAAAATACTAAAAAACTCAAAAAGTTAGAGTACTCGTGATTTTCAGAACAGTTATCAACGAAAAACTTCATTTCCAGTATAAGCTGGCCAAAAACGGATGAGGCATAATTATGAGTATAGATACAACCAAGTTTCTTATGCTAATAGGACTTTATCGAGTTATATTTGTTATAATTTGCAGTTTCCTCACAGTGCAAAACCTATATCCCGAGTTATGCTCGATTGTTTCAAGTGAACTTATAATTATGTCCCTTTTTTTCGGGTCATTTTTCCGTTTTTTTCGAAATTTCCAAAATCAAGAAACGATAGTGGTATCGAATGGTATTAATTAATTGACATTTCCAAATAGTATTTATTGCGTTCATATGCTGTTCAGTCTATATTCACAGTTTTCGAGAAAACTCGAAATTCAAAGTGAACTTATAATTATGTCCAGCAGTGTATTTCGTCTTTCGTGGAAGATGTTTAAAAAAATATTATTAAAGATCTTTGACAAGATGACGATTATATTTTAGTTGATTAATTTTTCATACCTTTTACAGGAACCAATAATCAAAAGATGCTGTAAAACCTGTAATAGAAGGGACACTCTAATAGAAGGGCTCTCCGAGAGGAGTTCGGAGAAATAGATGGGCACCTAGTAATAGAAGGGTACCATTAAAATATGTTGCTTGAAATAAAGAACTTCCTTACATTTTTAGTGAATGATATTCCGAAAATTCCACAAATTTACAGAAATTGGCTGACTCATTTTTTCTCGAAAAAGCTCAACTGCGGTGATATTTATAACTTTTCATTTGAACGAAAACTCACAGAACTTTACAATGAAAAATTTCGGCAATAAAAAGTCCGGAAAAATAGAAGCACCCCTTCTACTTGAATAGTCTCTGTAACAGAAGAGCTCTCCGGAGATTCCTTGGAACCATTGAAGGGCCGGCTCTTTTAATACAGGTATTAGGGTATCTGACTATTCAAATGAATTCAGTAATTTTTACTCCCAGAACTTTCAATTCTTCCACCCAATCCCTCGTCGTTTCAGTGAATTGCCAATTCAATTGATGTATGGTCACAAAGTGAGAAACCCCGATGGCAAACCAGCAAATTATCAGCTTTTGACGTTATTGCTCCCTATTATCATTTTGCAAACACTACACACACAGAGGCAATAAAACAGTTTTCAGGTGCGAAACGAAAAAAGCCAACGTATTAACACACATTGATGGCATTCTTTACATCTTCATTGATTTCCAGATAATGAAAGAGATTCATGATGGAGGTTAAATTAGAGAAGAACCTTATATGGTGTATTCGATTTCCGGGTTTTCAGCTGGAAAATTAATTTTTTATGGGCCATTACATTGGTATTGAAGTGTTGGTGATAAAAATGGTACTAAAAAGAAAGACTGTGAGGTGACGAAAGTTGTTGAGGTCTGTGATCAAAGTTACAAAAAACTTCCAAAGGAAAAATGAATTCCAAGATAAGGGTTTGGAAAACTAAAAATGTTCATAAAATTTTGAAAATTTATGCGCAGACAATTGACCTATAGATCTTAAACTTAATGGATACATTAAACAAGTGACCATCTTGGTTCAAAAAACTTATGTAACTCTCTGAGATGACAGTTTTTGAAGCGAGGTGTTCCGATAACTTCTAGAATTGTCTCTGCAATGAGACGGAAAATGGATTGGGGAATCTTCAGAAAAGCAAGTTCAAAATTTTAATGCCTCGTCTGGAGCTGGAATTTCTCAGCATAGTTAAATAGAAAAAAATACAACTGTACATATCGGTCCAAAAGTCTTGGTCAGAAATAGTGCATCAGCGAACGTAAAATTGGGGCTTCAGATTTTTTTTTTTTGCTGACCGAGTTTCAAACGTAGTTATCTGGAGCGCGATTACTGGCCAAGCCCTTTGGAACCATGTGGTACTGTACACCAAAATCCGATTTCCAAAAAATTCAATTAATCTTCATAGTTATATAAAAGCTGGCAACCAAACACGAACTACACTTGTGGTGCAAACCTCTGCTTTATCATAAATTTCAGGTTTTCTATAACTTCTACAGCTCTTGTAGTTTTTCTTGTTTTTGTTTGCGCAAGTATATCTATAAGCATCAAGATGCAGTACATCAGTTTCTAAACTATTTCAACCTTGTTCCTTGCTCTTTCTTTCATTTTATCATAATGCGATTCTATAATTAAGCCATTGCAACACTTTTTGTTCTCATATCATGGACGTCTAAAAGCAGAAAAAAGGGAATCCAATTCTTCTGCCATATTTGACTTCTCTAATCGCATTACTCTCCTTTATTCTCAATTAAAATCTTCAACGTGTTCCGGATAGTTTCTGATAAGACTCTCTGGAAGCGGTGAAATTCGGAGGACAGCGGACGCATCGTCGGGCGTACTTCATTTGCCACGACACTCCAATTCAAACAACGACTCTACACGTTTTTGAAGAAGGACTACTGCTGAAAGTGATAACGTCTCTCTTCTCCTTTTGCTCTTACTTTCTTTGTGTCAACTGATAAATCAATTATAATACACGGCAATTTGTCCATTAGGCTTGGCAGTTATAAACGAGAGAAGAAATGAAAAGAAGAAGAAATTTTTGTTTGACACACAAAACTCTAGTTTTCGAATTCAAAGTGAAATCAAATTATAATGGGTGTGGTGCGATTGTAAATTGTGTGTGTGCTCCCGAGTGAAACCTGAAATTAAATTGAAAATAGAAAAGGCGCCGACTGCACTTCGCCGCATGATAAGTGACACAGAAGTGTGAATTTTATTTGATCTACAGTATGATAGTGATCATAGAGTGGTGGTTTTTTTCCGCTTTCAGATCTGAAATGCATGAACACACAAGGTTCCAGAAGGCCTGGTCAGAAATAGCGCTTCAGCAAAAGTGAGATTAGGGCTTCTTTTTTTTTTGGTTGGCCGAGTATCAAAAGTACAACTATGAGTGGTGATTGGTTAATAAACATGTCAAATCCACTTCCACTTTTAAGTTATTGAATTTCGTCTGGGCTATAATTTATCTGGGCGCGATTTCTGATCAAAACTTTTGGAACGATGTCATGGTGGTTTCTTAAAAATTTCTACCATAAACAGGGAATTTTTTTCAATTGGACAACAGAGAAAGAAGACAAAAAAAGAAGCTGAAAATAAAAAAGAGGATAAGTACTTTTTTGGAAATTTTCCAATGTCCGATGTCCGTTGTCTGGTCTGAAAACTTGTGTCGCCCGTACTCCTCTACTTTCTACGAACAATGAAAATCGAAAAACAGACATCTTGGGTGTCTTCTTCAGATGTATTCGTTAGTGAAGAGTTTTAATATTCTACTGCTGAAGTTGTTAAATTGAAAAACAGCTATGCCTTCCAAACTTTTGACAAAATCGATCAGATTGGATTTACTCAACTGATAGTATGAAAAATCTGATTTTATAACTTAGGAACGACCATAAAAAGGTTTCAATTATTAAAATCAAGTTTTTATGATAGTCGGAATTCTTTTTAGAAAATTGTCTCTATAAATTTTCTACAAACCAAAATTTGATTATAGTATGATTTATATTACATTGTACTCTCTCCTCGTTCTACTTAACTTTTATGACACATTAAACCAAATTTGCCACAAAGTGTTTTCAGGCATTCCCGGAATACTTTTTTGCCCTTCCTCGCTTCCTGATAACGAACCGTACAGTGTATCCAGCCATTAATTATCTGAAAGAGTTACACGTGCAAACAGTTATCGACATGATTGTGCTGTTTTATAGGTTCGTGGAAAACTGAATAGATCGGGTGAAGTGAAGAAAGAGCATCACGAAAACTGTGACTGAAACACAAATCACGTATACAAACTACGGAAATTGATTTTCTGTCGGAGATATCAGAAAGTAGAGATATTGAAAACGGACATTGATTCAATACACAGTACAAGAATTCAATTTAAAGTATAGGGTAAGCTCTGGAAAATGGATTGAAAATGAAAAATGGAGAGCTGAATTGGATAGATAATAGAATGACTTCCTAACTTTCAACTTTGAGCAAATGTATCTCATTTCCTGTAAAAGGATTTCTAAAAATTGGTAACTGACAAAATGTTGATCGTAATATTCTGTCAGTTGATTACTTTTTGATATGTTTCACATAAACCGAGATAAATTAGATCAATCTGAAAGTGAGGAAGGTCATTCTAATAGTGTTCACGAGATTCTTCACGCTGAATAAAAATTTAGAAAGTACGTTGCAAATTAATATTTGAAACGCAATAAATTCTCTGTAATAGTAAGAAGTATATTTAACTATGGAATTACATACATATATTGAAAGCTCCAAAGCCTCATTTGGTTTAAAAAAAACTTTGAATTTCAGGAAAAAGATTCTGATTCTCATCCACTGCTTTCTATTTTTACAGAAACACGTTCTTCAATTCTGTAATGAACATTTATATCGCTTCAGTACCGCAGGGTTATCAGTTCCGAGTTCACTGGTTGCTATTAATAAAGTAATCACATTCTGCACTTCGCCTTTTTGTACTGACCTCAAACAGATGGCCTTCATTATCGATGTCATGGATATTCAACTCAGACTTCAAATTAAACTGTTCACTTACAACCAAATAACCAAAAATCTAATCAGTATCTGAAAAAGATTCGTTTGACTGGATGAAATTTTCAAGAGTCTAAAATTCTACAGTCTCCAAATTATGATTTGCAGTACTTGGATAAAAAATGAATTCCATTTCATGTTCCATTCCAAAGTGAATTTTGATCATTTGATATTGCAGCAACTTCCATTTTTTTTCCAGCTCGATTCGATTTGTTGAGTTGTGATAAAAATGCCAGACGACGCAATTGAATTGCAGAAACAGTAGTGTAGCTTGATTAAACGGGACATGACAATGTTTCTTTCTGTGATAAAGAATTCCGGAAATAACTAAAATGTGAAAACCAAAGTAGAAACGGAACGGATAAATTGCATTATTCGGAAAATGGGAAATGTCACAAATGGTGATATGGACTTGTTTGACAGTCTTCGAAAATTTTGTTTAAAATAAAGAACACAAAAATATAAGAGATACTAATTAAAAAAAATTTTTGGTATTCAGATTCTGGATTCCAGTTGCCAATTACTGCATCTTGGAAAAGTTATGAGATTTGTTAAACAATGAGAACTGTAAAACCTGTAATAGAAGGGCCCCTATCTATCAAATTCGAGCTAATTTATCTCGATTCCTGTAAAAGATATACAAAATTTGTTGACCGGAAAATTGTTTATCAAAATCACAAACATTTTATCAGTTGACATATTTTCAATATCTTGCCTAGATAAACCAGCTCAAACTTGACAATGTGGGGGCCTTTCTATTACAGGTTTTACGGTATATGAACTCAAATGGTTTATTCATTTCTTGCAACTGTTGTTTTTTCAAAACAGATTTCATCCTGTCATAGAAAACATTGAATTCTTTTATCATGACGACCTTTCTCAGTGTCGTTTTAACGGTTTCTATTAGGCGATGTTATGAAAACTATTATGAATTTTAAGAGTGACTAACTTATCAATTTTTTTCTCCAAAAACGTCACAAATACGATAATTTCGGCCCTAAACAAAGAGTCCGAGTACAAACCACACTCCGATTTGATGGCTCCAAGAAGTGACGAATTGACAGTTCTAGAAGATAATTGAAACTAGATTACAGCTGGATGACTAATTATTTGCGTTCACCCATTTCTGTTTCCACCCAAGTACTGATTCGTTGATACCACGTCAAAACCATATTCCATCTTTTTAGTACTCTTCTGAATCTCACCTATTTCTTTTCTTTTTCTCTTCTTGCCACAGAAATCACTAATTTTCATGTCCTGCTCCAGGGGAGTTGGCCGTCCTCTTTTTCCGTGACTCCGCCCACTTTTATGCTCTTATCAAGAGAGGGCAACTACCGTATAACGAGGACCGATTGGCGACCAAGAACCAATTTGACTGTTCATTATAAGAACCTCATTCTTTCTAATTTACATCTTGCCAGTCGGGTCGTCTTCTCAATTCTCCTCTTCCATTTTTCTGGAAAATTTTTATTAATATTTTCTACGAATTACCTCTTCTTATTCTTCAATTTGATACTTCTCTTCTCAACTGTATAGCCTCTTTTACTGTATTCTTAGTTTCAGATGCGCTTGGGCATTTTCCTGCTGGCTTTGGCCGGCTGTTGTAGTTTTGTGAGTGCTACCCACAACTGTTTAGTCGGAAATCTACTTGTATCGGAAAATGTTATCACATCTAAGTCTGTTGAATTGGTAAGTAATATATATTCTGGTTGCTTGTAAAGTCCTAAAACATTTCAGAAAGAATGCGAAGGATTGTGCAGAAAGCAAACGGTGACAAGCCCATCCGGAGGAGTCGTTCTCTTGACATGTGAAGAGAATAAGCTATCGACATTCATCAATCAGGAACAGGAATGCTCCAGCAGCGGGCTTGAGACATCGTGCTTCTGTAAGGGAGACGAATGTAACAAGGTCGACTTAAAGGAAAACATCCCAAAGACAATCAGCGTTCCAGCTGCTCCAAAGTGAGTTTTGTTATCTTTAAAAGGGGTTCAGTGAACTGATAGGAACTCGGTGGTTGATATAAGTTGTTGGCAAAAATTGGTATTGATAAGACAATAGGTGGCAAGTTCTTGAGTACGTTCTGAGTTTTCACTGCGAAATGCTCAGAATTACTGTAGAAATTTGTGTGTCACAACCAACGATCTCCGGAATGAATTTTTCGAGTAACGGAATGCGGTAATAAATAAATTTATTTTCGCATCATTAGTAGTGGAATTTCAAAAACCATTCTCGCGACAGAGGATTCTTGATTAAGATACTTGCTGATAATTTGAAATAATATATATTTCGCGGAATCCGGAATATAGAATTTAAAAAACACGAAATCTGGAATGTGGATATCTCTAGTCAGAACCGGTTTTCGTATTCTACCACATGATTTGTGCCCTCTACTGTACTTTGTCCCAAGTAAAACTCCTAATTGAACTTCTACGTTTTTCAACTTGCCAACCGACTTCAAACTGATAACGATAATGGAATAATTGGGTTACATTGACGCCATCCTTATCAGTACGTGCCAATAACGCAAGCAGCCATAAAATGTGTTTAGTTAGTAGCTCGTTTGGCATTGAAATTTAACAAAAACGTGGCGCATTCTAACGATAAGCTTCTTGTCTAATGCACTGATAGTATACTTCGGGAAGATGACCGAATTGATAAAAATTCCAAAAAAAGCTCACTAAGGGAACTTGGATATGTTTCAGCAACATCCTCTGCTACGTTGGATTCTTTGCCAACAACACTTCCCCAGCTTTCGGAACTGGAGATACCGTCACTTGCTCCCCAGGAAACGTGTGTACCAGTGTGTCTGGTGTCTACAACGGATTTGATGCTGGAGTCTACGCTTGCATGCCACAAGGACTTTGCGACTCCATATTCCCGCAAGCCCAACCACTTTCCACACAATGTACCAACCTCCAAGGAACCAATGTTCAGGGATGCTGTTGTTACAAACAAGATTGCAGAGAGCTCGCCCCAATTGCCAACCCACCAACTCCAACTCCATGGAACAAGAACAACCAGACCTGCTACCAAGGAATCTCTCTTAACGGAGTCACTCTCTACGGAGGAGCTTTCTCTCAATGCTCTGGAGAATGCGGATCTGCTCGTATCCGTACTCAACTAAATGGAAACAATGTCTGGGCCGAGGTCTACGTATGTGATCCAGTCAACGTCTTCACCGGATTGAACCTCGACAACGAATGCAAGAACCTCGATACCACTCAAATCAATGGAGTCCCAACCGCTCTTATCACTGGATGTGCCTGTAACAGCAAGGACAAGTGCATCGACCCAACCGTCGTGCCACCAGTCTACCCAATCAAGCAACTCAAATGCGCCACTGGACTTTACAACGGATCCACCTGGCTCGGAGCTGAGATGAACTGCCAAGGACGTTGTGGACGTCTGAAGTTCAACGCCAACGGACAACAAGTTTCCTATTTCTCTTGCATGCCATACGACGTTTGCGCCGGATTCGGACTTGCCTCTACCGAGGACCAAACCTACAATCCACCACAGGATGATGAGCTCGAAGTCTTCTGCTGCTCTGGATTCAACAACTGCAATGTCAACAATCCAGACATCCTCGGACGTGTCAACAGCAGTGTCGTTTCTACCGCCAAGTATCCAGTTCTCTGCTATGGAGGAATCTGGGTCAACGGAGTTCCAATCACAAACTCTGCTTACGGACTTTGCCAAGGAGAATGTGCTTCCGCCAGCTTCACCACCACTTTCGCCAACCAGATCCACAATGCTACCATCTACACCTGTGATCCAGTAACCATGTGCCAACAAGCTGGAATCTCCAACTCTTGCGGATCCGTCCTCGGAGGAGTCAACGCTTGCTGCTGCGACAACGATCTTTGCATTGATCCAAACAGAGGAGGACAACGCCCACAACTCCGTTGCTACTCTGGAGTTTCCATCCCACAAGACGGCTACAATACCGGAGGAGACCAATTCTGCGACGGATGGTGCGCATCTTTGAACTCTGTTGTCAACGGAAAGAACGCTACTGTCTACTATTGTGCCCCAGTTGGAATGTGCCGTTATTTCGGACTCGGATTCGGAGGAGATTACGGAAACTGCGCTCAGATTCCAGGAGCTGACCCACAAGTCACCGGATGCTGCTGCTCTGATTCTGACAACTGCCTTGCCCCAGCTGGAGTCAACGTCACCGCCATCCCAGCTCGTAGAGATCCAAGAATTGTCTGCTACGAAGGAATCCATCTCAATGGACAAAACATCAGCCAGCCATACTATCGCATGTGTGATGGAGAATGTGTGTCTGTCTCTCTTGGAGCAACCGTCAACAACACCTCTCACTACGCTACCCTCTACACCTGTGATCCATCTAGCGCTTGCGCTTCCATGGGACTCCGCAACAACTGCTCTACCATCGACAACTCCTTGACTGCTTGCTGCTGTGACTCCAATGAATGTATCGACCCAACCTACAACCGTGTTCCAGGAAAGCAACTCAAGTGCTACGTTGGACTTAACACGAGAAACGGAGGATTCAACGCTGGAGCTGAAGTTATCTGCGACGGATACTGCGCTTCTGCATCCGCTGTTGTTGGATCTGACTTGGTCACCGCCTTCCACTGTGCCCCAAGATCCATGTGCCGTTCCCTCGGTCTTGACAACTCTAACAACACTCTCTACTTGGACAGATTCGTCAACGTTGGATGCTGTGATGTCTTTGATAACTGTAACTTGGTTGGATCTGGAGTCAATGTCACAAACATTCCACCAGTTTCTGGAAATGAGATGCCACGGGCCTGCTACTCTGCAATCTTCGTTGGAACCAATCAAATTTCTGATGGAGGATGGACTGCCTGTAAAGGAGATTGCGTTGCTATCAACCTTAACACAACCGTAAACGGAGCAGTGACCACTGCTTCCCTTTACACTTGTGATCCATCGTTGCTCTGCAAAGCTCTCAATTCGACCAACAGATGCCACCAACAAGAACAAGGACTCGAAACTTGCTGCTGCGACAGTGACGCTTGCCTCGATCCAACTGTTAACCCACCACGTAAGCCATACGGAGATGGAAACCTCTGCTACGTCGGAGCCTACTCTTACGATATGTCTGGAAACACCATCTTCAACGCTGGAGGAGAACAATATTGCCAAGGAAACTGCGCCGCCGTTTCATCCAACCTCGGAAACGCCAATGTCACCGTCTACGCCTGTGTCCCGACATACGTCTGCAACAGCTTGCAAGTCTATGATACCTGTAACACCGTCTCATTCGACAAAACCATCACCGGATGCTGCTGTACCAACGGACCAAACTGCAACTTGAACATGGTCATCCCACGTCCACCACCAATCACTGGACCAGGAAGAAGACGTCCACGCGTTGAGTACCCAATCACTTGCCCAGCTGGACTCATTGTTGACGGTACCTACGTAACCCCAATGGAGTTCACGGTTTGTGATGGAGAATGCGCATCGATCAGCATCAATACCACAATCAGCGGACAACAACACACTGCTTCCTTCTACACATGTGACCCATCATCCGTCTGCTACCAACTTGGAGTCCACAACAACTGTGCTTCCCCAGAATCCGGAGTGACTGCTTGTTGCTGTGACAGCGATGCTTGCCTTGATCCAAACAGAGGAAAGACTGTTCCAACTCCACCACTCAAGTGCTACGTCGGACTCTACTCCACCAGTGTCCCAAGCCTTCAGACTGGAGCTGAACAGCTTTGCGATGGAAAGTGCGCCTCTGTGAATGCCCGCGTTGCCAACGACAATGTCACACTCTTCGCTTGTGTCCCACACATTCTCTGCCGTTCTCTTGAACTCTACGACTCCTGTGCTCGCATGGAACCATACTACCCAGAATTCAGAGCCTGCTGCTGTGACAATTCGGACAACTGCAACGTTGCTCAAACTCATCTCAACGGAGTTATTAACACCACCATCCCACTTACCCCACTCAACGACGCTCCAATTTCCTGCTACTCTGGACTTTTCATCAACGGAACCGCCTACAGCTCAGCTGGATGGCAAACTTGCCAAGGAGAATGTGTCTCTGTTTCGATCACATCCATGTTCAATGGAAAAGCTGGAACTGCCGCCCTCTACACCTGCGATCCATCCCGTGTCTGCCGTAACTTGAAGATGAACAACAAGTGTCAAACTCTCAGAATGGAGTTACTGGATGTTGCTGTAACACCAATGCCTGTATTGATCCAACGGTCTATCCAGCGCGTACACCAGGAAACCAACTCATGTGCTACGCTGGTATTGCCTCCAACTACCAAATCAACGGAACCGCTATCAATGATGGAGCCCAGATCCCATGTAATGGACAATGCTCTTCCCTCAACGCTGTCGTCAACGGATACTCGGTCAGCACCTACCACTGTGTTCCAAACTCGATCTGTAACTCTCTGGAGCTCTACGACAACTGCAAACCAGTCTGGAACGACAACCAAGTCAACGCTTGCTGCTGTAACAACGTCAACAACTGTAACATCCAGAACACCACCATCACTCCACCACCACCACCCACCACTGTTGATTTCGCCATTGCTTGCTACACCGGACTCTACGTCAACGGACAACCAGCCACTCCAATCGCCCTCGGAGCTTGCCAAGGGCAATGTGCTTCGATCGCTTTGAACACCACCATCGGTGGAGTCTCCAGCACTGCCGTCTTCTACTGATGCGATCCAACTACCGTCTGCCAAGCCTTGAACATGAACAACAACTGTGCTTCTCCAGAACCAGGAGTAACCGGATGCTGCTGTAACACCGATCTTTGCATTGACCCAACCAAGAACAAGACCAATCCAGCTGGATTCCGTAACTGCTACGCTGGAATCTACGCCCAAGGAAAGGGAACCGGATCCGAGATCAGATGCACAGGAAAATGCGCTTCCGTCGCTGCTACAGTTAACGGAGACCCTGTTGCCGTCTTCGGATGTGTTCCAGAACAGTTCTGTAAAACTCTTGAACTCTACGACGAATGCAATACCATCACTGTTGACCGGAACATTACTGGATGCTGCTGTAACAACTACAACAACTGTAACGTCGACTTGGCTGGATACACTGGAAAGATCAACACTACAATTCCATCTCGTAACCAACGTGACTATCCAATCACTTGCTACTCTGGACTTTTCGTCAACAACGCTCCAATCTCAACTGCTGGATGGCAAGCTTGCCAAGGAGAGTGTGCTTCGGCCACCATCTCCACTATGTACAACCAAGTTCTGACAAATGCGACCATCTACACCTGTGATCCAGTCAGCACCTGCTGGCAGATGGGATTGAACAACAATTGTACGACCATTGAGAATGGACTCTCCGGATGTTGCTGCGCTACGGATGCTTGCCTTGACCCAACTGTCTCTCCACCACGTACTCCAGCCAACCCACTCAAGTGCTACGTTGGACTCCAATCTACCTACAATTCTTTGAGCTTGGGAGCCGAAAGCTACTGCCCAGCTGGACAATGTGCTTCATTGAACGGAATTGTCGGAGGATACAATGTCACCACCTACCACTGTGTTGCTGACTCAATCTGCAAGAGCCTTGAGTTGAAGGACAGATGCACCACGCTTTGGAATGATAGATCTCTGACTGCTTGCTGCTGTAACAACGCCGATAACTGCAACCTCAAGGATCCAAGCATTGTCCCAGGACCAGCAGTTCTTCCAGACTACCCAACAGCTTGCTACCAAGGACTTTTCGTTGATGGGCAGAAGTACTCAGCTGTAACTTTGCAAGAGTGCTTCGGTGACTGCGCTTCAATTTCCATCACCACTGCCTACGCAGGAGCCAACCACACCGCCTCTTTGTACACTTGCGACCCAACCTCTGTTTGCAAGCAACTCAATGTCAGTAATTCCTGCAACACCATCGAGCCAGGAGTCACCGGATGCTGCTGTGATTCTGACCTCTGCTTGGATCCAATCAAGGGAAAAACCAATCCATCTAGACCAAAGTGCTACGCCGGAATCTACGCTCAAGGAAAAGCCAAAGGATCAGAGATCAGATGCAATGGAAAGTGTGCTTCCATCAGTGCCAACGTTAATGGCGACCCAGTCTCCATCTTCGGATGCGTCCCAGAGCAATTCTGCAGAACTCTTAGCCTCTACGATCAATGCCAAACTATTACCGCTGACCGGAACATTACTGGATGCTGCTGTGACAACTATGACAACTGTAACGTCGACTTGGCTGGATACACTGGAAAGATCAACACTTCGATGCCAGTCATGAACCAACGTGATTATCCAATCGCTTGCTACTCCGGACTCTTCTTGAACAACGCTCCAATCTCTACTGCTGGATGGCAAGCTTGCAAGGGAGAGTGTGCTTCGGCCACCATCTCCACTATGTACAACCAAGTTCTGACAAATGCGACCATCTACACCTGTGATCCAGTCAGCACCTGCTGGCAGATGGGATTGAACAACAATTGTACGACCATTGAGAATGGACTCTCCGGATGTTGCTGCGCCACCGATGCTTGCCTTGATCCAACTGTCTCTCCACCACGTACTCCAGCCAACCCACTCAAGTGCTACGTTGGACTCCAATCTACCTACAATTCTTTGAGCTTGGGAGCCGAAAGCTACTGCCCAGCTGGACAATGTGCTTCATTGAACGGAATTGTCGGAGGATACAATGTCACCACCTACCACTGTGTCGCTGACTCAATCTGCAAGAGCCTTGAGTTGAAGGACAAATGCACCACGCTTTGGAATGATAGATCTCTGACTGCTTGCTGCTGTAACAACGCCGATAACTGCAACCTCAAGGATCCAAGCATTGTTCCAGGACCACCAGTTCTTCCAGACTTCCCAACTGCTTGCTACCAAGGACTCGTGGTTGACAATCAGACATACTCGGCTATCAGCCTCCAAGGATGCTACGGAGACTGTGCTTCCGTTTCCATCACAACCGCATATGGAGGAGCCAACCACACCGCTACATTGTACACTTGCGACCCGACAACTGTCTGCCAACAACTCAATGTCAGTAACTCCTGCAACACCATCGAACCAGGAGTTTCCGGATGTTGCTGCGACAGCGATGGATGCCTCAATCCATACACCGGAGCTACCCCAGGACCAATGAACTGCTACGTCGGAATTTACACTGGTGATGGAAAATTCAATGTTGGAGCCACTATGCAATGTAACGGATATTGCGGATCCCTTGAGACTACTGTTAATGGAACCCTCTACAAGTCTTATCACTGTGTTCCAAAGCAAATCTGCAAGACCCTTGCATTGAACAACGAAAGAAAAACTATCTCGACCGACAAGGATGTTACCGGATTCTGCTGTACCACTGGAAATAACTGCCACGTCACTGAAAAGGGTATCAATATCACCAACACAGCTCCAGCAGTAAGTTTACTCAAGCATGATTATGTAACTAACCTCCTGTTTTAAGCCAACTGGAGACCCTATCTCCTGCCGTTCTTCCGTCTATCTTAACGGAGCTGCAGTCACTGATATGGCTTATACTCCATGCTATGGACAGTGCGCCAGTGTCTCCTACACTGGACCATACAACGGAGGAAACCAAACTCTCACTCTCTACACCTGTGACCCAACCGCCGTTTGCACAGCTTTGAGTAAGATTTATGGAGCGGAAAATTTCTCGCAGAGATATGCTAATTCACATTTTTAATTTCAGATCTGAACAACGCTTGCGCATCTATCGACGCTGGACTCTCCGGATGCTGTTGTACCACCGATAACTGCGTCGGACCAAAAGTTCAACCAACTCCACCAGGTGGATCAGGATCTTCCATCTCCTTCTCAATTCTTGCTCTCTTCGCTGCTGTATATATCGCTCTGACCAGACACTAAATTAGGCCTCAGCTCTAGAGATTTTATTCCATCACTTCTTTCATGTATGTGCTTTTTTCGCGCAGTTTTTTTCTAAATCTTTCTTTGCCTTCTCATTTCTCATTGTTCTCTTCTTTGAAAACTTTTAAATTTTATATTTGTTGAGTTATTTTTTCATGTCATAAATTTATTTCTCGACACCTCTGGTCTATTAGAAAATTCTAGAAATCAAATCAGATCAATCAATTGATGATTCTCTTTAGAGTGTTATTCAGAAGACGTCTTCCTTCAAGATACGTAGTTGCATGAACGTAATGTTTGGGGACAACTGTCAAGATATTTGGATTGTCCACACTTTCCATAGTGAAATTGAAGACGTTTGTGTTCACACGAGCCTTAAATTAGTTGGTAGAAAAAAGGAAAAGAACTGAGCATACCTCTTGTCCAAGCGTCGGATTATTGATCTTTGCAAGTTCGGGTAGCTTATTCTGATCGGAGATCGAAGCAACCACTTTCACTTGGATATACTTTCGATCGGTATATGTGACGAAGGAGTCAAAATGAAGTACATGACCAATTTCCACAGCTTTCGCGAACTCGATGTGGTCCATCGAGCGAATGGCAACTCTTCCCTTACAGTACATTTTAGCATTTGTGTATGCCAGCTCAAGAGCTTTCCGCATCAGGAATCCTCCAAAAATCTTTCCATACATATTTTGATACTCAGGAAAACAGATTTCAGTCACTGACAACATAGTTTTGTGCATCCAAATCTCGGATTTCTGAAAAACGAAAATCATTTAGCCGTGTTGAGTTCAAGTCTGACTTCAAGAACAGGAGTATCATTAACCATATTTCTGGCAATCAATTTGTTGTACATACGATGAATCAATCTGAATTCGTCGTTTGTTGGCTCCTCGTCTCGGTTGCTCATCGTTTTGAAATGCTCTTTTGCTTGATTTATAGTCTCTGCCTCATCTGGAGTTTTGGCCACCAAACCATGCACTCGAATTTTCTTTGTTCCATCCAGCGGGTCACGAGATACCTAAAACTAAGTACTTATAAAGAAGTTTAAAAAGATCAAGAACCATGATGAAGTCAGCCTTGAGAATATGAACCAAGTTTCCGTTTTCATCGTTTTGGAACAAGCGAATCGAAATTTGCATGCTACTCGTTCCAGCATAAGTGACTTGTCCATCAATGATAATGTCTCTCGATGAGTTAATATCTTCCCTGAGAAACGATTCTTTAGATTTATTCTTCTTTGTGTTAACATACTTATGGAAATCGACACGTTTCACAGAAGCTGTCACAATGGTTCGTGGCAATGTCATAGGTCCATCTAGTGATCCGTTTTCCGAATTGTGGATATATGCCACGTGGACAGCCATATGATCCAGGTCTTCCAGAATCTTTCCAATTCGAACGTTTCCCATAGCACTCAAATATTCCTTTTGCTTTACAGTATCCGTGCTGAGAGGAATCACAAACTGAAAAATGTATTCTATCTAGGTCCGAAAAATTCCAGGCTACCTTTCGATAGCTGTCACTGATGGCACGTGGCTGAAGAATTTTGTTCTTCTTATCCTCATCAGTAAAGTTTTCCGGACCGCACTTGGACACATGGTCGTAGATGGACGATACCATGTTATCGATAGTCATTTCCTGACCAGAAGATAAGCTTGGGATCCCTGACACGGATGAAACATTTCTATTGATTTTCTTATGGGTCGGAGAATCACGTTGTTGCAGAATTGACGGCAGTGTCACCTGTAGAATATGAAAATGTCAGGAACTCAAATTTTTTATAGTATGTCAAAATATATTCCAACTTGATTATCCCAGACATGAGACTCACCACTGGAAAATTGCATCCAGAAAATTGGCGCACTTGGAAAATTCGTCTAGAAGCGTATCTTGCTAACATATTTCTTCTCCCTATTTTCCAAGAATCGTTGAAGTGGCAAAATCCCCGCTGGCTAGCTAATTTCGCGTAGACAAGATCCAGGTGAGTCGAAACCTGGTATCATATGGGAACACGCGAATAACATTCTGCCCGTAAAAAAAACTATGTTCATCTTCAACATTTTGTTTGAACTCTACCCAGAAAATCCAATATTATTTTTATGTCTTTTCCTACATGTTTTAGTACATTCCGAGAAAAAAGCCTTGATTTGTTTTTGGAAGTTGACACCCCAAATCGAATTCGTTGATTTAATCAAGTTGCGTACTTTGCATGTAGTTGTAGATCGGAACAACTGACTTCAGCTTCTTTTTCTTTCATCACTAGAATGAAAATCCTACTTCCATTGTTTTTAACATTTTGTTGCGGTCTTTGAACTAATCTTAAAACTTTGCTATCACTTTCGAACTGATTGCTTTTCAACCTCTTATCAACCACATTCAGACATAATAACAGACATACTCGTAAAAAATTAAAAACAGTTTTCATCAAAAAATTGTCTGTCACACTGATCTATAACTCTTTGAACCGAGTATATAAAGAGTTCCCGATGCCGACTTTTTTATCACTTCAAAATGAAAACCATTCTCTTTGTTTTCTTTTGTGCTCTTATTGCGGTTTCCCTCGCAAAACCACAAGTATCCTACGGGAAAAATGGACCTGCTAAACTTCACAAAGCTCGTGGAGATGATGGAGACGGTGGTGGAGGATATGGAGATGGAACTGGAGGTAAGATCAGCTGACATATAAAGTCATAAACTTTTTTAAAGGACTCAAATTGAATGGAGATGACGGTAGCCATGAAAATGGAGAGCCAGTTGCGGTCACTGGAGGACCAATTCATTTGGATGAAGAAGAAATTGGAGTACCATTTGCTATTACCGGTGCTCCAAAGCTCCAACTCTCCGGAGATGACAAATCGGATAACGGGGAACCAGTTGTTGCTACCGGGGAGCCAAAACACATTGTCGTCTACAAAGTGTCTTCAGGAGTTGTTCAGAAGAAAAAACAGGGAAAATCCATTGCTCATTACTCTCGCAACGGACCACATGTACTTGTTGCAAGACTTTAATTTTTACCCAGTGTTGTTTGTTCATACCTTTTTTAATCTTACATAAATTCATTTGAAAAAAATGAGTTGTTTAAATGATCGGAAACTTTTGGATTTTTTGGATAATCCAAAAGATTCTTATCAGTTCAAGTCATCAGAAATTGTTCTTAGATGCCAGTGATCCTTATTATAAAAAACGATGAACTCATAAACGGAATATGGCTTCCCCGTCTGGCACTTCTTTGTTGCATCAAATCAAAAAAGAAACATTTAGAAAACACAACTCCATTTGATAGGAATTATGGTATTTTGCAAACATCCGAGCTGTGGAAGAGAAGAGAAGATCTTGTGTCCGCGGCCACGGCCGAACTAGTTAGCAAATTTTTTTTACTTCCATGTTTTTTCTCTATTTTCGTCCGTTTTCCGGAAACTTTCAACGCAACGCTTTGCGAAAAACAAAAATAATCGAGGAAAAAGGTCCGAATTTTGGTTACGGTGTTTTTTGGTTAGCCAAGCCTCAAAGATTTTCTCTTCCACTTTCATACAAACATAATAACACCCTTTTAAAAGCATTTCAACTTTTTTATTTTTGCAAAAAAGAGCAGTCTGCACCGCCATCCACAACAATTCGATGATCTGTCTTCGTCGCTTCGCATGCCAATTTTCGTCATACTTTGCATTTCTTCCATCGATGCTTCTTCTATGCTGCTCGTTTCCTTCAGAAAAATATATATTGTTAATTGCTCCGTGTGTGAGCATGCACATATATGTCACGAGTCCCAATTAACCGAGATTACTCACAGGTTCCGATGCGAGGTCCAACATATCCGGTCGCCACGTCAGTTGGAGTTTATAGTCGCTATTTGGTATTATAGTACTTGCTCTTCTTTGTTTTGTTCCGGTTTTTTGTGTTTTTCGCAGTAATTCAATAGCCATATTCTTTATTTGACAAGTGTCGATTTTTCAGCCACTTTCCACATTTATAGAGAAAAAATATGAGAAAAATATGTGACATTCGTTTGAAAAAGGACACAGTATGAGACATGAGACTAAAAAAGCTAATACTACAAAAGCTTGAATGGCGGCTAACTCTTCGATTATGTGTTTAAAGTGACCAGCCTGAGAGAGAGAGAGAGAGAGAGAGAGAGAGAGAGAGAGAGAGAGAAACAAAGTCTTCATTTATTTATTATAAGAATGATACGTTTTTTGATGTTTTTTCTGTTTTTTCTTCCGAGTCCTCGAGCACCCGACAAAATGAAATCAGGAATTAGCGGTTCTAGACTCAAGTCCCCTTTTATGATTTATATATGCCCAAGGTCTGAAACTAACCAAGATTCCTGAATAAACCATCAGAAAATACTCGTGTAAAGACTAGAAATCTTACAAATTCACACTAATTTTCTGCAAAAAGGTTTTTTTTGTGTTATTTACTCTGTGGTTTTTTCGGTATTTTTGTGATGAAAGCTGTATCAAATCAGCTTATTTTCAGCTCACAGAGTGTCAATCAACATATTTTGGAACGTTTTTTTTTTGAAAGCTTTGCTCCTGGAACATCTCACACAGCTTTAATTTAAAGTTTTCGAACAATACAACAACCATAAGGTTATTTTCTAAAGTTCTAATTTGAAAACATTTCAAAAATAACATGAATCAGAAAGACATTTATGGTTACATTCTATGAATAATAGTGTCATTTAGAAAATAACTAAACATTTTCCACCCTCCACTCTAGGCTAAAAATCATTTTTTAGTATTACTTTATTTTCTTCCTTATTCCCATTCTTTCACTGGGATGCACACTCTCACTTCCTTTTGGATTTTCTCAAGATTATATTGAATTATGGACAACCCAAGAAGGACAATCTTTCCTTTTTTTTTCATAACTACTCCGCCAATAACTCATTCTTGTTATATTTTTCAATACTCTAAACTTTATTAATTTCCCAAAAAGTTAGATTCTTAAAGGTATGGGGACATGAAAAGAAATAATCATTCTTATAATAAATAGATGAAGTTGCGTCTCTTTCTCTCTCTTTCTCTGTCAGTTTGTCCGCAAATTTCGAAAAGCTTGAAAATAAAATATAGATTCACGTGACTTTTTAAAAAAGTGAGTCGCGAAGCGACAAACAGTAAAAAAGGTTAATTCTCAAAAATTCGTTCATATAAGCTCACCGAGGAGTTGAACTTGTGGACCAAATGCTGGAGGTGCCGCGCCCCTACCGATTGAGCTACGGTGGCGCAAGCTGACACTGTTACGTCAGAATGCATACCGTAACTCCAAAAAACTCCAAAAAATCTCTCCTTCAAAGTACCAACTGTTGACCTCGCAGAAATATTTCAAACTATTCGCCTATTTCTTCTATCCATTTTCCCAAGAGTTACATGTCCTCAAACACAAAGAAACAGTCGATTCGAACGATCAAAACAATCGTGACTTTTCCAGAAAATAGGGAAACTCGATCCCATTTTTTGTGTCATGTTCCGATTGTTTTCAGTATTTGACTATTAATTTTTTGTCTCGAATATACCCAATGGGAATTCGGTACGATAGAGTTTTCTGAATTTAGAATACTACCATAACACGAAGTAGAATAGACCGAAAACTCCCTTGTCCCAACGATTCATTCAATGATGAATTCTGATGCTAAAGTGCGACGACATCTCCTGTGTACTTTAGAAAACGGCAAAGAAGAAGCAGCTCATTGATGTCTTCCTCCCTTCTTCGATTCAATTTCGGTTCATTTTCATTTTCATTCATTTTGAGCCTCAAAATCTCATTTCATTTGTTGTTTGTATTCATCCTTCGTGCTCCTTGACTCTGATGTATCCTTACATATATTTGCCAATGTTTCGATTCGGAATGAATCAGAGTAGAGAATTGGATTCTATGGCTATAGCGCAACCCAAAATATTCTAGGCTGACTCTTTCCAAAAATAGTCAAAAATATTCAAGATCATTGGTCCCAATTTTTCCATTTTCAAAATGAAGAAAATAGCCTAAATTTGCATTTTCAACCCACATAATTGAGGGTTTCCCTATATGGTCTTTTCTCGTTCCAAAAATTTGAAATTTCTGCTTGAATTGAAAAAACTAAGTTAGTTTTTAGGATAGTGCATTCCATCTGCCGGCTTCTGTATTGTCAACAACAGTTGGAGTTTTTCAGAGAACGGCTAAAAATATATTCATAAATCTCGGAAATACTCAATTACTCATTTTTTATTGGTATTCAGAGAAGGAGGAACTCTATAAATGATACATAAATGATATATTATGATACAATCTTTGAACGCTAAAAATCTTTGGATACTTTCATAATGTCCTTAGCGCCAAAAATAGAAGGACACTTTCACCTATTTTCAAGGATCCATTTATCTTGTTTATCTATCTTTTCTCACACCGAAATAACATTCGGTTGAGAACAAAACATCTCCAATGTTTTCCACTTTGATTTCAAACACGCAGCCTCAAAGTCTCTCTGGAATTCTGACCATTAGAGCTTATTTGACTTCAGACTTGCCTTTATCTTTTTGCTTTCTTGCTCGGACTCTGTTGTTTTGTATTATTTACGCCCTTTTCATGACATTTACGAGCCTAGGAGTATCTTGCATTTTCTGTAATCAAGTAGCTCCGCTGAAAATTAGGCGACCAGGAAGCTGTCTAGGACTCTTTACAACATTCAAATTTTGTCTGAAAAAAATGTCTAGAATTTTGATATACCGTTAAACCAGTATTAGGAGAGCCCTGAAAATGAAGCATCCCTCTATTAGAAAAGTCCTCCGAGAGACCCCACAAAAAAAATAGAAGGGCCGGCCATTCTAATACAAGTTTTTTTTTTAATATTGGGCACATGTCTGTAATTATCAATGTTAACTTATTTAAATTCGTTTTCGTGTTTCAAGTTATACTGTTTTTGTTTTTTTTGTGCTGGAATTTTTATACACTGTCGATTTTCCCGCGCTTTCCAAATTTTGTCTGTTTATCAAAATATTTGTTTTGATTAACAGTTCACTAAAAGTCAAGAGACCTAATCCTTGTTTTTCTCTTGATTAAGTAAGTGTTCTTCAGCAAATCCCTTGACCATTCCAATGCATCAAAACTTGTTAATTCTTCCTCTTTGTCTTGTGATTTAGGAGATTATTAGAAAGTCAGCATCATTTGACAACAAATAATCCTGTAAACAACAAGTAGCGAATTGTATCTTCTTGGTCAAAAGCCGTCGGAGATTAGAAAATTAGAATCCGCCCTCACTTTCTTTTTTCCCTTCTCCTACACCACCCTCGCTTTACGTATAATAGAATAAATCAGTGTATCAGTCGCGGAGAGATTTATCTTTTTTGATTTTTTGGTTTTTCTAGGTTTGAATATTTTTGAAAATTATTTTTCGAAAATGAGATGGGTGAGTTTAATAAACTTTCCGGATACAAGATTTCTTTGAATTCAGAACACAAACCAATTTTCGAAAATCTTTTTTTTTATTCGTCGAACTATTTTTATTTTGTCTTTTCTTTCGAAGTTTCCCAGTGTGAAAATATAATTAGGAGAGCCCTAGTTCCGTCTTCCTCCATCTCTCTATGAATCTTTCTCAAATCCAAGTCAAATTTAAGTTCTAGCACACTACCTGGCTTTCCTGCGAAACCACTCCCGATTGTTATCACATTCTCTTTTTCCTATTATTGCTGAACCCATTCTAGTAGTTTTTCTACGGCTTTTCTGCAGAAGCAAGCCAATCGTGTAAAAAGCATTTTGTTCAGCCGTTTTTCCTCTTCAATTTGATATAATTACCCATGCGAACACGGCAATAACACGGAAACAAAACCTCTGAATGAAAAAAAAGAAGGGAGAGGAAAAAATGAATTGTCTCTCCCGGTTCAGTTGTTTTTGAGCACAATGACTTATCATTAATCTCAAGAGTTTTGGAACTACTAGAACTACTTTCTATTAGACGCGGTTCGAATGAACGCAATGATTTCCGAGAAATCCAATTTTTTTTCAAAAATTGGGTACATTATGTCAGTGCATTCGAAAGGCTGTTTTAGAATTCTGAAACTTCAGATACTGTAAAACCTATGATAGAAGGGCTTTTAATTTTTAACTTTAAACCAATTTTTCTCGGTTTCTATCAAAGATATGAAAAAGTTGTCAACTGACAAATTGTTTATCTAGGAATGTTTTGACAGTTGACACATTTTCGACATCTTGCAGAGAAACTGAAATAATTGAGATCAAATTTTATTTAACAATTGAGCTTAATTTTTTAGTGTGGAGTCTTTCTATTACAGGTTCCACAGTAACCTAAAAATTGTAGACATCAGTCACAGTCCGAAACTCAAACACTAACTTTTTCAGAATTGAACAATCAGACATAGTGTGTGTTCGTTCTTTTTCAAAAAATTAAATCAAAATGAATAGACTGTGTTACTAGTTTTCTATTCTTCCAGATGAATCATTCTAGACATCCTTTCCAGAAGTAACCCATATGGATTCATTTCATTTTCAGAAAAGAGAATAAGAACATGATCTATATAGATAACGTAATAAATTATTTATTGTTGTATGTATCGTAGGGGCAGTGGTAAGAAACAGAAAAAAAAACCAATTCGAGAATGAACATTCTCAATTTATTTATTATTAGTCATAAGCTCAAACTCACTAATGCTTTTTGAATCCTTCTTACTCTTTTTCGTCTTCTCACTAATTCCAATTCTCTCAACAATTCCTATTTTTTGGTTCTCCACCATTTTCTCCATTTCTTTCATTATTTCGAGTTCATTCTCATGATCCACCAACCCATCCTCGAATCTTATTTTCGCTTCCAGAAGAAAAAGAAGACGATGCGTAAATATTTTTTGGGGTTTCAGAAAAAGAGAAGAAAATGGAATATGTGTTCCAGCTTCTCCGAAGAATATCCATTCCAGCAACTGTCTCGTTTTCCAATATTCCATTTATTCATTAAAAAAATTGTGGAAGAGAAGCAGTTCAAATTTTGGAGAAATTCGCTTTTTATTATTATGGGATTTCAAGATAATCTTACTAAAAACTAGGGACAACATTAGTGAGCTGTTAGATTTTTCCAAAAATGGTTCTATTTAAAATAGAACGAGTTACCATTTATCAGCTGTCCAAACTTTGAAATATATATGTTTCAGAGCCATATTCTAAAATTCTAACTGAATAATAACAGAAATCAAATTACTATGCATTGGCACTATTCTCGAATCAACTAGGTCGTGCGAGTTTTCATATCTTTGAGTTTCGTTATATCGAAAAATGTTTCGAAATGTCGAAAATTTGGAGTTTCAAAACTTGAATTTCGGAATTTCGGAATCTTACTTCCCATATGTGTATGATTATCTGTGAAAGATATCAAATATATGTCAATTGATAAAATGTTTAATGTAACCAGCCAGTTTGCCGCGCCTCCGGCGCTTCAAACAGCTGGCTGGTGCGCCTTCGGCGCGATTTTTTTCGTCGCTTCGCGACTCACTCTTATCTAAATGTCACGTCAATTTGAATTAATTTTCAAGCTTTTCAAAATGTTCGGACAAAGTGAGAAATATAGAGACGCAACTTCATATATTTATTATAAGAACCAGCCTATTTGCCGCGCCTCCGGCTCTTCAAACAGCTGGAATTAACTTTTTTCTTTTACTGTTCGTCGCTTCGCGACTCACTTTTTTAAAAGGTCACGTGAATCTATATGCGTTTTTGACGTCCGTTTTTGACATACCGTAGGCCAAAAATATCTAATCACTAAAAAAGCTTCGGAAATACTTCGGTCAGAACTTTCGGAATTCCGAATCCCATTCCGAGCATCTCTGTTTTCTCTACTATCAGCTGACTTTCTTATGAACTGTATCAAGAAATCATGTTTTCGTATTACCGTATAGAACTCAAAAATTAGAGGTTAATCATTCAGAATAAGGTTGTTGTACCTAGGCGTTTTCAGTTTTCCGACTCTTAGAGAAGGATTCAAAAAAACGTATGAAAAGTTAAGCTTGAGAAACATTGAATTCTTAAAATAATGGATTTTGTTTTTCTTTTGAAGATCCCTCACACATGTTTTCAACTGGTCAATTCTTGGAGTACGTGATTAAATCACTCTCTGACAAAATAGAATTGAACCTGGTTAATTCCTAGTACAGTTTTTGTACTCTTTTTCTTTGAAATGTATGTTTCTGACGCGCAAGTCAAAAAATAATTTTTTGAGAATCTCACCATCGACCTCTTCTAAAGGATTCACGGCACTTTCAGCTCTCACACCTATTTCCGGTTTCCACGTCATTTTCATTTCGCTATTCTATTCTTTTTCTTTCAAAATGCCGCTGCTCTTCTTCTTTATAACATTCGTTTCGAGGGGATGATGTGTTTGCAATATATGCAACAACTACTCTTGTGGTCCGAAACTCATTGTGCAGAGAAAAGATTGCATTCGGAAGACGTCGGTCGTGTCATCCTGCTTCTTCTATTTTATTCATAGTACAAGTACACATACCCATCCTCATTTATTCTTGTTTCTTCATGACTTTTCTTCTTCTTCTTCCTTTCCTCTTCCTTTGTTTTTTTGTAGACAACACAACCATAGATTAGAAGGGAGCCTCGAGGTAATCACAGGCTGCACCCGAAACATTTTTTGCAGGATACTTCTTCTCTGAAACGCTTCCCTACGGGTTGATTCTCTTCTTCGTACTCTTCATTTTGCACTTTTTCATGATCTTCAGATTTTCAAACGATTAGGTGGGTTGTGAAAGCGTCATGACAATCATCGAAGATCATTTACTTGATTTTTTTTTCAATAGGAATTGTAACTTTGATCCCTTCAGTCTTTGTCTTTTTTCAATGAAGGGCAAGATTGGGGGATTTCTTCTTCTGCTTTTTCGATGACAAAATTTTTCATTAAAAAATTCGTCGCTTGGTGTGAGGTGGCTAACGGATTAGCTTTTTCATTTTTTCTTTCGTTCGACTTGCGTAGATGTGGGTGCAGAATCCCCACCAAATTTGAAGACAATGCCAGACGAAAAATAAACAAAAATTAAATTTTTCATCATTTTGAAAAATCATTACTTATTCCTATAGGATCTCTATTATCACGAGATCTCATGTGTTGAATTTCTGATGATAGCTTACAATTAACATGACAATGTCACATGTTAGGCATACTCCATTTGCCTTCCTGGACCATCTCCCTTATCTTTTCCAACGTTTTTTTTTGACGTCACGGACTCTTTGAACCTAGTTTTGAAGACGTTGCTTTATGACCCTTCTCCAGAGTTTGTCTGGTTGTTCAAAAAGTCTGCTGACCGTGTGTTCCTCACTTTTTTCCCGATTCTAGCATCATGAGAAACTTTTGAATTATTGAATAACGAACTGAACTTATTCAAATATTTTGGAATGTTTTTTTTTCTGATAAAATGCAAAATGATAGTTGTTTTTTCAAACAAACCTAATTGATATTCAACACGCCTTCTAAACTGAGCAATGAAATTCCATTAAAAAAGTTCCAGCCGTCGTTCGACCCGTTCTCTTTCTAGGATGACTCCAAAAAAGTGGTCGTCGACCACCACCACCAATCGAATCCTTCTTTCACCGAAAACTCAATTTCGTTGTCATTTCCTTGGTCGAGGATAAACCCGAAAACCCATGGGGTCTCTTCTTTGTGGACTCCTGGGAGCACCACCCACTTATTCAACTATGAATGTGAGAACGAAGGTGTGTCACGAGACAAAAACATTCTGACCAACCGAACCGTTAGCCACTCGAAGAATGAATTGACTTTCCCGGAAGAGGAAACAAAGAAAACAAGGACCATCATCCATTTCTTTCTAGTCATTTTTTTTTGGGAACGAGAAACTATTTGAAGGGTCTCTAAGTCCATGTTGAACTCATAGAAGACGTGCCAAAAACGTGGTGGTTGCTCTTTCGATTAATCCAGATTAGTGACACACATTTAGCAAGATATCCAAATAAAGAAACATAGCAACACAGAAATAAATGGATCCTTTCATCTCTTAGTTTCAGTGATTCTGATCTCTGTGTGATGACGTTCGTGCCGAATTTCGATTTTTCTGGGTTCCCTTCTGCAAAAAAAGAAGAGATGAGGAAAAGAGGTTCGAGTTTCTGGCAAATATTTGTGAATGAATCTTTAAGGAATCTTTTGCACATTTTGTCTATTCCCATGAAATCATACATCCGACACTGAAACGTCGATCCACGCCTTCAGAGATTCAATCGGAAGTCAATAGTTCCGGTGGAGGTGGAGTAAGATGTACTAGAAGTCGAAATGAAGGAGAAGGACAAGTAGTTTATAAATGTCTTCTTTTTTGAGAGAGAGATAGGAAGAGATAGCTATCTAGATGACCATATGTTCGTTGAGAGATTATAGTTCTTCCCAAAATAAATACTCGAGCAAATAGAAAAAAGGGGCGGAGTCTCCAAAAATCCGCTATCTATCCTTTACAAAAATCAACCTTTTTCCTTTTTTTTTCATTCTTGTCTTTTTTCCTTGTTCGTTCAACAAAGCTCTTCTTTTAGTAATTTTAACTCTGTTTCGTTCCTTTTCCTATTTTCACCTGCCCTTTCTTTTCAATTCCACCTACTGTGGTACCAGATGTATCCCGTCATTCGATGGAATCATCCCGAAATTAAATGGGATTTTCTTCTCCCAAACGAATAAGAAAAGAAGATTTTCGATTTCAGAAGAAGAGGACCGAAAAACTTGAAAGAGAAACTCATATATTTTGGTGCCGTTTTACTCTTTACTCATTGCTATATTTGCCCTCATTTCCTTTCTTTTTCTTCGCCTTTTCCTATTCCATGTCTTCTAGGAAGAAGACGTGCGGTTGGGAGATGCCACAAATAGATTAACCCATATAATTAGTTTTCCCAACTAGTTTTTTAAAACCCATTGGTGGTTGAGTCGGTTATCTAACTCTCTTTTTAAAGATTACTTTACTCTTTTTGTTATTGCCGTTCCTCTTTTATTGCTCTTCGTTTGGGGCCATAGAATATTCCACAGAATGATCTTCTAAGTACAAGTTTTGAGCTTTGAGCTTGCTTCACATAATTTTTAGTTTCTCATATTTTTATCATCAGCGTCATTCAAGAAGATCTTTAGTCCTGTCTCATATCCCACGTCTTCCCTTAATGACTGATTATCACACAATGTTCCATCTGCATACTTTTTTGTACCACCCACTACACCTTCATTTCCAATTCCAACGAACTACACTTTCAGCTGCTCACCTATTTTTTACCTCCTATACATCACCACATTCTTGACGTTTTTAGCGATGGGATGCGCACTTGAATAATCAGTTCATCGACGACATTTTGCATACATTCTGAACTCTCTTTCCCTTTTCCCACGTCTTCTTCTTTATTCACGTCTTCTTTCTCCAAGACCCGCCCATCATCTTCAAAAACGCTTCCAGCCTTCTTCCTCTTCTTCTCATTTCACCCGGGTCCCTTTTTAGGCCTATTTTTCTCCTTCTTCATCATCATTTGTTCGGAATTCCAGCAGAAATGGAGCACCACCACCATCAAGTCCCGATACCATCCGATATCGTCCGAATGTGTGTTGACCAGTTCGACAAAGTTCTTGAGCCATACAATTGCATTCAGTGAGTTTTGAATTTCTCTCTTCTCCTCTTTCGATCTTTTTGGATATTCTCAACTCAACGACCACAGGTGTCCTCTTTCTATTTTCTCATTTATTATTAGTATTCAAAAAAGTATCTTTTTGGAATTTTAGATCAACCTCCAAACTTAGAATTTCTAAATTTTTCAAGATCTGCACGGCGAGCGATAAACGTTAGTCTAAATATAGAATTCATTGCAGAGTTATGGCCACAATTCAAGAATTGGAAGAAAGGGGAGTTGCCAAGTGTTCAATGCCTTCTGCGCTTCCAGAATACAGGCACATTATGAATTTCACATCTGGATGTGATTGGGCGGAATTGAGTAAGTGGCTCAGAATCCAGAGGGTCCTAAACACTGCCTCGTTCAGCATATCTTCAATACGCCGTACCTCCTCTAATGATTCTCTGCTTCTTTGGAAACATGCTCAATGTGCTCATCTATGGTCTTCCGTTCTTCAATGGATCTAGTTCCGTGCACTTTCTACGCGCCAAAGCAATCGCCAACATGGTGTTCATGTTCTCTCGGATTCTGGAGGTACGTTGAAGAAATAACGTCTTACAAAAAACACAGAAGACGGAAAGAAAAGAAACGAGCAAAATTCAATTAGCTTAAACACTCAGTTTTCCTCTCACTATGCTGTATTATTGCTGTGAGCAAAAGTACAAAACGGAAGAGAGAAAAGAAATTAACTGACTACTCGAAAGGCTATAAATATATTCCATGTCTTTTTTCCAGGTTTTACATGCGTCAAGCACACAACCACTTTCTTGGCTGGAACCTCTTTTCTGGAAATCTCGTCCCTATTTGGTTATGGTGTCTAACATCAGTGGAACAATGTCAACATGGCTAACTCTGATGGTCACATTGGAAACAGTTATGTGTATCATGACTCCTTTCATTTTCAAAAAGTATTGCACTAAAAAGTGAGTTTCTTAACTAAAAAGTGGGATTATTGGACCTTCCCAACCATTGTTTTTTTTTCAGAACGACCTGGACTGTCCTTATCATGTCTGCATTTGCTGCAACCCTTCTTCATGTCGCAATCGTGATTGTAACAGAAGTTCAAGAACATGCTCAAGTCAGACAGTATATTCAAGTAAGCTTTGAAACTGTATTTCAAACTATAAATTAATTTTTTTAGAACTTCAAAAAAGAGAACGCGGCTTGCTGGTTCCTCCAATCTGTTTTCCGAGTTCGAAATGATCCATACTATGAAACCTATCGTAGATTCTATGCCACAGCAACAATGGCAGTATCAATTGTGATTCCAACAATCGCGATGCTAGTTTTCACGATTCTGATCATCAAGAAGTTCACCTTCAAGGTATGAAAGAACCTCGTTGGAATTCTAATTCATCTCCATTTTACAGAATCTCGGAGATTCATTCACTCAACGAAGAAAGTGTGTGCTCCGGCTGACAGCGTCTACCACCTTCACCCATCTTATATTGGAAGGACCAGCCACGCTCACTCATTCTGCGAGTGCCATTCAGGTGTGTGTTTTTTGGAATGGAATTCAATGAAAATTAATTATTCTCGGATGATTCATGACACCGGGCTTTGTTTTCATAGAGCAATGCAAACTAAATGAGCTCCGGCGCGACAGAACAAATGATAGATATTCGCAATAAAGCACAGAATAAGTTAGTAGCTGGAAATTCTATAACCGGGAATTATTATCGTAAAATTGACGACAAATTCAACGAATAACAGTTATTTCAGGGTGATAACTACAGTTATTTGATGTGTATTCTGAATCATGGAAACAATTTGGCATCTCTTGTCAATGCAACTATCCCTTTCTTCGTTTTCCTCATCTGTAATGAACAGTTCCGTCATATGGCTCTGATGTACATCAAGGTAAGTCATTTTTTACTTATATTTGGAAAAATGTTAAACTTTTTAGGCTATGGTGGAATGTGATCCGGTTAAAAGACAGTCATATTTCGTTCTAGCAGGACAGCGTTGTAGCCGAATGTCTCGAGTTGAAACTGATCGATCGTTTGTGGAAACTACTCGCGTTGCTACGAGACCTACTCATGTCTGAAAATTTTCTAATTTTACCAGTTATTTTGAATTACGGTAGTTTAAAAGAAGTTTGTTGTCTTAATACGGGTTTTCACTGTATTTTAGCGTTTTCGTATGTTTTTCTTCTCGTTTTTTTTTTGTTTTTCCGTAAATAATATTTTTCAATGTTTTCTCTGTGAAACAAAAGAGCTCTGTTAAATTGTGAACTAATTCTTGGTAACTAAATAACACAGATACTTAGAAGAAGAACCAGACGACTTCAAGCAAGAAAAGAGAAACAAGAAAGCGTTGAATAAATTATCATTTTTCTCACTCTCTATTCAAGACGTCAGAAGGTGTTTTGTAAGTGGATAGGGAAGTAAAATTGATGGATGTTCAAAAAACGATACACTGGGTCCGATTTCGTTCTGATTTCTGAACAAAAGCGAACTGATGGGCAGATACAGTAATCGGGCATCACCAGTCAAACCCATGACAAGGTTCCGACTTAGTATTATTGTGTTGCAAAAAATTGGAGCTATGGACCATGGCTGAGGAAAGCTTATGGGCGTGATCAGATCCTTGTAACGAAAACTACCTTAATCCAAAAATTTCCGGTCCTCGTTTCTCTATTCCTATTTGTTTTCGACAAATTTAGTGTTGAAAACCTCCAGACAAAACGAAAATCTCAATTTTCCTAAATCATAAAAATTGCTGGAAAATGGACGAAATCGAGAAAAAATATCGAAATAAAAAACTTTCTTTACGGAAGATTCTTCAGTAAACACTTTAAGTGGAAATAGGTTTGAAATAAAAAGTTCTGAAAATATAAGTTCAGTTACTCCAGCAAAAAGATTTTCGCATTGTTTGTGAAACCTCCGAAAATTTCAAGATTCGCCTGATATTATTCTAAACCCTAAATTTGGGACCCTTTCACGCGGTCTGGCCACCTACAGTACTGAATGAAAAGATATCGTTTTTTCGACTTTGCCAGTGAAAAATAGTCAATTTTGAAGTCCTCAAAAATTATTTCAGAATTTTGGATTTCTGTCTGAAATTTTCAGAATATACAAAACAAAACGCGAGCTCCATTTTTGCCATTAAAAACTATTTTGTACAAATTCAACAAAGCTAGATGAGCGGTTTTAGATTCGAACTTCTCGAAAAAACTGAAAAAAAGCTTAGAAAGATAAGAAAAATCTTCTTGGAAATCATTATGCCGTGTTCAAAGTAGACTCCAGGAACTGGAAATTGCGTCCAAAGCTGCCAATTTTTCCAGGTTTTCCAGGAGCACGAAACTTCGATATTCCGCGTTGTAGCTGTGTTAATTTTTCGAGGTCCGCTGTAAATTAACAAGAAACTTTCTTTTTTTGGACCTCGAATTGATGTCGAAGAAAAAACACAGCTACAACGAGGGAAATCGAAGTTTTGAGTCCATGGAAAATCTGGAAAAATTGACAGCTTTGGACGCAATTTCCAGTTCCTGGAGGCTACTTTGAACGCGGCATTATCTAGGGAAGTTTCAAAAAATTATGCATGATTCAGGAAAATTGCTTTTTTTAACTCGAAAGAAACAATACGAAACCAAAGATTTTTTTGCCTTGGATACTGAAAAATTTCTTTCAATCGACTTGACGTCACTATAAAAATAGGTTAATTGATTTGGAAAAAAAGTCTCCGAGTTCAATCATCCTATCTGTGTGTACTTCCTGGTCTTTCTGGCTCTCCTGGCGGTTTACCCCCTCCGGAAGATTTTTTAAAGGTCTACTTGGTGAATTGAAGTAGCTGCCTCTCCAGACACGGTGAGATAATATTTTGAAGAATACATATTTCATTTAACTTATTTAGGCTCTTTTGAGCGAGTCTGTTGTCAAGAAGGTTGGTGTCCCAACATTGGCCCGTATGTTGGTGTGCTCGTTCCAACCATCGGAGTTTGGCAGCCAGAAGTTGTCACTGTCACCACTAACAAGGGTGAGTTACCATGTTCAACTAATAGAAAATACTATGTCAAATATTTTTCAGGAAGTCCATGCTCGATGAGTCAGCTGTCGTGCTGAACTATAATCTATCCAGAGAGCGTCCGGAGAAGAAACCGAGGTCGCCTGAACATTTGCGTATTCGGAAAGTCGATTAACGTAGCAATTTAAGTTCGCCATCATTTACCGTTCATACTATCGAACGACATACTTCCCACCATTAGCTTTTAGTCTAGGAATCTCATTTTGTTGCTTTGATACCATCTAGGCCCTTCCGACCATTCCATCCATTCACTACGGATCCCACTAGGCACCGCGGGCTCCGGACATCTCGAAAATTTTAGATGGATGTTGGCTTACCATGTCTAGGTCTGTATTCAGAAGACCTTCGGGTTGTCAAGCCTGTGCATAGACACATGGAATTGGAACAAGTGTCACAGTGCAAGTTGCGTACACAATTATGACTTTCTAATAGGCGCGGCTCCCGAAACGCGTACGGACGGCTGCGGAAGAATAGATGACTAAAACTTGCATATTTATGCAAATGAGGGAAAATGTATATGACAAAAAAGAAGAAATCATTAGATATTGGACCATAAAGAAAAATTCTTTTCAGATCTCCTGAATATTCTCAGGTTTATCTCAAATTATAGAAATGCCAAAATTTGTGATCAAAATGTAGTCCAACATTTTCTTGATTTTTTTCAATTGAAAGTACAAAAAGAAAGCTTCATTTTAAAAAAGAAAGCTTCATCAACAACTTTTTTGTACAAATTCAACCACGCGAGATGAGCGGTTTTCCAGCGGCACAACTCTCCAGTCAGTGCTAATTTTGTCTCAATCTTATTTTTTATTACAGGAAATGAGGATGGGGCCCTGAAAATTAAAATATTTTGTGTGAAGAAGAAAATTCTCTCCTAGATTTAGATGCTAACTACGGAACTAGGCCGTGGCCGCTCCTACCAGATGTTATCTTCTGGCTAAAGCATGTACGAAAGCCGACAAATGATTTATTTTGTTTAAATAGTCTTTGTTTTTGCTTGTCTTCTTTGTTTGTTTGTTTGCTTTCAAAACATAGCTTTTCATAACAAGACACCGAAAAACTTGAAATAGAAGAGGCACATAATTTTTAACTTTGAGCCAATTTATCTTGGTTTCTGCCAAAGATATCAAAATGCTTTCAACTAATCAATTGTTAATCATAATATCACAAACATTTTATCAGTTGACTCATTTTTGATATCTTGCATAGGAGGCAAGAAAAATAAAAAAATCAGCGAAAACTTGATAGTGTGGGTGCCTTTCTATTACAGGTTTTACGGCAACTTTTAAGTTTTAAATTTTACTTTCACTCATGAAAAAAACTTGAGATATTGTCAAGATATGTATTCAAATCGTCTCGGTTCAAACGTTTCAATGTAGACTGACTCCAAACCACAAATGGGCGGGCAAATCGGCAGAAACTACAGGTTAAACAACAAACATTTCATCATAAGTGAGAATCGCAGATCACTAAAAAAACCAAAAAGTAATTGCAGAAAAAAAAGCAGTATTAAAATTTTTTTTGAATTTTTTTTAATCATTTTATCTTGACTGGTACGCTCTGGTCAAATGATATATGCGCCGTTATTTTTTTTTAGTTTTTGGAGTTTTTTGAGTTGAAATAGAGGTTGGCGGGCATAGAAACCGGTCAAAAATCTTTTTAAAATACAGGAGGATCACTGGGAAAAGTGTAGTCGTGTCAGTCATCACGCTACATTGCGCACAGTGTTCCCTAGTTTGTGACCATCTTGTGCGTCTATACTGTAGACTCTATACTTATATTTCTCTCTCGTTCTCTATGTTTCCTTTCTTTCAACTCTAGACACATATAAAACTGAACCTATCAGCATTACTTGCGTTTTTTCTCCTTCTCTTTTTCATAGTCATCGAGTCTTGGAAAATAGTCTACTTTGGTTTTCAGAAATGGGAGGATTTTTGTCTCATTTGACTCCAGAGGAGAATATTGAAGTGGTCAATGCCACATGTGGTCCAGTCAGAGGAAATGTTTATAAACATGTCAGTAACTAATTCTTCTTATGAATCAAACAATATCTGTTGTTTTTATTTAGAATGATGTCATCGTAGATGGTTATCTTGGAATACCGTATGCCAAGCCTCCGGTAGGAGAACTTCGTTTCAAGAAACCGGTCCCAGCTGATACGTGGACAGAGCCCAGAGATTGTTTCAAATATGGTCCAGTTTGTGTCCAAACTGGAGGTTTTGCAGACGTTTGATGAGATCTTATTAGTTTTGAAACTGATTTAATTGTTCCAGATTGCCGGTGAAAGATCAGTCACTCCTGAAGAAGCGGGATGTCTAACTTTGAATGTTTTCTCTCCAAGAGCTCCGTCTTCTGAATTCGTTAGTTTATTTTCTTCTAATCAAAACCACCTGAATACTTTTCAGAAGTCTGGACGCCCAGTGATGGTGTACATCCATGGTGGAGGTTTTGAACTAGCTGGCTCATCCGATTTCTGTGCATACTCACTCTCCGGGTAGGTTAAATTCTATATATGATTTATGCTTCTCTTTTGATACTTCCAGAACACTTCCACTGAAAGATGTCGTTGTTGTGACCATCAATTATCGTCTCGGAGTTTTCGGATTCCTTACAACTGGTGATAACGCTTGCCATGGAAACATGGGTCTTTGGGATCAGACTCTCGCCCTCAAATGGGTTCAAAAGAACATTCCCTCGTTTGGAGGGGATCCAAATTGTGTTACAGTTTTTGGACAAAGTGCTGGAGGAGCCAGTACGGACTTACTTTCATTGAGTCCACAGTCTAGAGGTTTCCATTTTGAATTCATGATAACAAAAGTCGAATTCAATAATTTTCAGATCTTTTCCAAAGATTCATTCCAATGTCTGGATCGGCGCATTGTGATTTTGCTATCAGAACTGCTGAGAATCAAGCACAGATCTTCAGAGAATTCGCCCAGCATCATGGATTTGCTGGTGGTGATTCAGAGGCTCTTTTCAAGTGGTACAAGGAACAATCTGTTGAAACTTTGAGCAATGTGAAGAAGTTTAAGAAGACACCTTCTGGATTTCTGACATTTATTCCAAATTTAGATGGAGATTTTTTCCCAAAACCATTGGATGAGTTGAGAAGAGAAGCACCGAAAAAACAAATGATGATTGGAGTTGTGGAATATGAGGGACTGATGTTGGCTATGATGAATCCAGCTTTTGCACCACCTGATGAAGGTCTGAAAATTGCTCCAAAAGGTCTTTACGGCAAAGATGTTGTCAGTAATCCAGAAGAAACTCAGAGACTTTTCTACGAGAAGTACACAGAAGGCGTTGATAAATCCGATGAAAACGCTATGAAAAAGAAACTTTGTGAAGCTATCGGAGATGAGTTTTTCAATGTTGGAATTCTTCAAGCTGCAAAATCAGCTGCTAAACATGGAAATGAAGTGTATCTGTATACATTTGCCTATACGAATCCTGAAGGTTTCGGGATGTGGGATGGCATGTTGCCTTTCAAAGGTAACTTGTCTTAATTTTTTTTTCAAATTAAAAAATTTATTTCTAGCGGCTGTTCACTGCACCGAACTTCGTTATCTTCTCGGAGAAGGCGTCTATTCGAAATTCGATGCATCGGAAGAGGACCTGAAAGTTGTTGAGACTACTACCACGCTCTTCTCCAATTTTGCTAAATACGGGTTTGAATGATTCCACGGTTCTAGTTCAAAATTTTTTCAAACTTCAGAAATCCTAACGGCAAAGGAGCAACATCCAACGAATGGGAAAAATACAACTTGGAGAGCCCGGAAAGACATTTCCACATATCTTATCCACTCTGTGAGATGAGAGATGTATATCACGAGGGAAGGATCGGATTCCTGGAGAAACTTGATGGAGAGAGTGACAAGTATCAAGAATTGATTTACGGAAGGAAGAAGTCTGCGAAAATCTGAATATATTCCTTAGTATTTGCTAATAAAGTTTTGAATTTAATAAATCTTTTTTGATTAGTTTTCGATGAATTCATAAGTTTTCTTGAGCAATTTGTCAAAACAAGTATTTAGGTCTACATTGCAAACGCGCGATGCAAGTATTCGAATTTTTTATCTACAGTATTTCTAAGAACTGCGCGTTGGGCTCACATACCGTAAATACTATGTTAGATAGCCATGGCACTCTATTGTTCGAGGGTGGTCTGGGGTGGCACTGTATTAGGGGGCGGCACTCAATTAGAGGCTGGCACTTTATTGTTCGGAGCCAATTTCTACTGAAACTCATCACAAAAATACTCGATTTTCAACTTTTTCATAAAATGACGTTCGAGTGCTTGAAATAAATAACAGCAGTTGAAAAATGTTGAAAGCACGATTTAGTAAAACCCGTCTACAAACATGAACGTTCTCTGCCAGTTTCGTTCTGGATTGATAAACATGACACTTCAGGACTACAGAAGCAAATCACCACAAATCCCGAAGAGTAAAAAGGAACAGTCTGTATAGTCTTTATTCAAATGAGTAGATTTTCGGAGTCTGTTCATTTAAAGGTGGTGTACGGTGAAATTTTTTATTGCATCAAAAAGTGCAGAAATGCATGTAGATTGACATAAAAATAAAGAAAAAATTCAAAAAAATTCTTTCATCGAGAAAAACGCATCGAAAAATACGCTGAAAGCCCTTAGGGACGAGGTTTTTTCTAGGCCGCCCGGTGAGTAAAAGCGCGCGAATTCAAACTTTTAAATTTTTTTCGCTCGTTTTCACTTTTTTCGGTTTTGTCAAGAGTTTTCTAGGTTTTTGTCAATTTTTCTTCCAGATATATATATATATGTATATATATATATATATATATATATATATATATATATATATATATATATATATATATATATATATATATATGTATATATATATGTCCCTGTTATATCTCCTAGTTTCATAGACATTTCACGTGTTAGTGGTTTTCTCCCCTTCGTTGAAATAAATAAATTAAATTAAAGATACATCGGAAAATTTGAAAAAACAGTGAAAACGAGCGAAAAAATTTTAAAAGTTTGAATTCGCGCGCTTTTACTCACCGGGCGGCCTAGAAAAAACCTCGCCCCTAAAGGCTTTCAGCGTATTTTTCGATGCGTTTTTCTCGATGAAGGAGTTGTTTTTGGATTTTTTCTTTATTTTTATGTCAATCTACATGCATTTCTGCACATTTTGATGCAATAAAAAATTTTACCGTACACCACCTTTAAGTATGTTCTTCAAAAAATTAAAAATGCTGTGTCATCGATAAAGAGTTGATCAAAAATAATTCAATTTTTAACATAAATAACTTGGAGAATAGTTAGAATGCTCAGAAAGGAATTCGGAAGACCGAAAATCCTGATCAAATTTCCGACCGGAAAATTTCCAATATTTTTCTGGACTTACGACTACAGTATGTCAAAGGCGCAGGTGAAAAGTTTTCTCGCCCACAGTTGCGGGTCTCGAGTGGACTTACTTTCATGTTTTTGCGCTTTCGAAATCTGTTTTTTGTTTTCAAAATCTGTCTCCACTTTTCATCAATTTTTCGCGCTCTGTGATCTAAAAGGGAATTATATTTGAAAAAAAACGGGATTTTCTCTTGAAATCTCACTTGGGTTCAAGCGAGGGGGTCAGAAAGCGCGCCCCAGTAAATTCTTCAAAAATTCTCAATTCGTTGCCGAACTTCGTTGGCTGAGTATCACAGTTTTAAACGATGAGCGAGAATACGCGCGTTGCAACCCGTTGATTTTTAAGAAATAGATCATGATCTATTGTCGAATTAAAAAAAGTGACACCTGAGAATTTGAAAACTTTTGCTTTTTTTGATCTACGAAAAAGTGCGGCAAAAACGTAATATTTCAGAATTTCGGCTCGTTCGAGCTACTTTCGCGTTTAAGTTTAGTTTTTTGCGGAAAAATAGATTCTAGACTGCTGGCGATCATTTTTATATCAAGAAATCAAAATTTTGTTCAGAAAATCCCACTGAATTCACATAAATAAATTTGTTATCTACAGTATCCGTTTTCGCTCCGCCCCCTCGTAAATCGACACGAGAACCGTCTCCGAGATTTTCAGGTGTCACTTTTTTTAAGGAGAAAAAAAAAATTTTGGCTGGAATTTCGGACAAAATGGTCAAAGTGGATATTTCGACTCCAAATTTTGTGAATATGCTCTCTATAATTTTCTCCGAAATTTCAGCGAGATTGGTTCTTTCTCCGCGGTTTCGCGAAATTTCTCCATTTCTCCGAATTTTTCTAAATTTTGGTGAATAACCCTATTAAATTTCTTCGGGCCTACGAGTTTGCTGAGGCGCTTTTTCTGACCCCCTCGCTTGAACCCAAGTGAAATCTCAAAATCGGAGTTTTTTCATGAATATTCAGAAATTTTGAAACTCGGAATTTTCGTCAGAAATTTTTTTCCGGAAAATTCATTTAGAACATCCCTGGGGCTATTCATGTAGCAAAAAATGTATTTGAGAGTGTCTTGTCGAAAAATGTTATTGAAGTGTGTCTTTCTGAAGCATTTTTCGTACTGAAATATACACTTTCGCTACATGAATAATCTCCACAAGAATATGACATCTTTCAATCTCTAGTTATCTCTCCGAAAGCTCCGTAAATCGATGTGACCACACTTGTCGCACTTTTATACATTTTCCGCGGTCGCTGCGAGACCGGTCAACTGGCGCGAAGGATGGAGTTTTAGAGAAATCTAGAGACGAAAATAGTGAGAAGCGCAGGCGGCAAAAGCAAGTCCCCTCTCTTTCACATGGCGTTCGCTGGCACTTGCTCGTGTCTTTTCGTTGCGATTCGCCGATGTGAGTGCAACTAACGGTTATCTGCTTTTGCTGAAGTTACCCTAAAAAGGTTCAAAAACGGGATAAATAGCTTTTTGAGGATGTTTTAAATATCTCGTTATAAATTTCCTCTTCGAAATTAAAAAAATGCCATGTGACCGAAAAAAGTTATTGAGGTTTTTTTGAAGAATACAATGCTAGCTTTTTGTATTATTTGAATTACTACTTCCTTTTTGGATAACAATAGGTCAAGAAGTGTCATATTTCTGGGCCAGATTTGTTTGCGGACAGTATATTTAGAAGTCACCGAAGTTTTCAGGGCAGTAATTCCTTGTCCGGTTTATATATTGATTGCGAAACATTCCGCTAGCTTTCGAAAACCGAAATTTGTCGTAATTTCAGCTAGTTTGAGAATAAATTTCCGCTTCGCTGCAGAATAAGATGATAATCATGTTGTATTATTTCAAAAAAAAAGACGACGAAAAATATTAATTTCGGGTATTCCGTTGTATAATTTCGTTATATTATAAATTTTCTATCTAGATTCAAAATTATAGGAGTTTCAGGCTATAAACCAAACTTTCACAGTGGTTAGAAAGTATAAAAAGAGAGGACGGAGAGGCCGTCGTCAAACACCAGGTCCGGCGATGAGTGGCAACTCAGAAGATGTGGAAGGAGAGCAGCCGCATCCCGCCAGAAACGAAACTCTCACACATATATTGTACGCACAAGAAGCTGTCGGAGACGACAAAAAAGATTCAGCCATCATTGACTTGTACGTTTCACTTCGATGTACTCCTCCGACTTGTTTTGTTTTTCCAGAATCGTCGATCAATTCAAGCAAGAGAACATTGGAAACATCCTGGCCAATCCAGCCATTGCTTCAATCGGTCCTTCAAGAATCAAACAAGTGGTTCTCGGTCCAAAACACATCGGAGTGTTGTTAGATGACAACAATGTCTGCAGAATTTCATACCATCTTTTGCAAGTTCAAGTCGGAGAAGTAAAAGAAGCAGAAGCTTCCCGTGGTGAATGCAGCAGACTACAAGAGGTTTATTCCCGTGCGGCTCCCGGAGAAGTTGAAGTCATTCCATTGAGTGGTGGTTTGAGTTCGCTAAGAGCTGCCACTGGACAAGCCAAATATCGACGAGTTATGCTGACTAATCGGTACAGAGAAAAAATTAAGTTCCGAAAAAATTGAACTTCTTTACAGAGCTTATTATCGTCTTCGTGGTGGGCTTAGTGACGCACGAAGTTACATTTTAGGAGGACCGAGACCGCCTGCAGCAAACGTTCCAGACGATCTCATTAATCAAGTCCAGCAAGTTTTACAAGGCAAATCTAGAGAAGTGATCATTCGAGAACTTCAACGAACTGGACTCAATGTTAATGAAGCTGTCAACAATCTACTCTCCAGAGATGACGGCGATGGTTTGCTTTGAATTCTGAGTTTATCTAAATTAATAAATCGTTTCAGATCAAGATATCGACCTCGGTGGAGAGCATCTCATTCCAGAAGAGTTGCTGCAAATATTGGAAGGAGGCGTGCCGCCAGGAGCAAATAGTGGTGTTTCATCGATTGCTGAAAGTTTTCTGGAAAGAGGTAATTAGAAATTTCCAATTTCGAGACTAAGTCGGTGATTAGTTGCAGAAGAACGTTTGCTCGATTCATTGTCATCTCGTAGTGCCGAATTACGTTATCACTTCGGTGGTACATCAAGCAAGAAACCGAAGAATAATGAGAAAGAAAAGAAAAAGAAAGAGCCAGAGACTAATTGGAAGAATTGTATGCAATTGGAAGACGGAGTAGAGTGGTGGTGTGGACAAGATGGATCAGGAATCCCGGAGCATGCATTAAACGATACACAGGTCGATGATCAGGAGAGAAAAGCAAGTCCTATCGTAAGCATCACAGCCACAAGCTATCAGATGTATGTTCTTCACAAAAACGGAAGACTTTATTCGTGGGCTTGGGACGATCCGGCTGGACAGACTTATCCAATGGCAATTGTTAGAACCAAGGAACCAAGTTTTCCTGTTCAAGAAGCAAAGTTTCCTGAGAGCTCTTCAATTGGAACTTTTCAAGATCCCATCGTTTTGATGTCCTCCAGTAACTTGAGAATAGCAATTATCTCAAGAAAAGGTTATATGGTAACCTGGTTGGATGATCACGGTGTAGGAGCACGGATGTCGCTTGCTACGGAAACAATTGCGAAAATTCCCGAAGAGTCAATGCTGAAAGTTCAAGATTTAGTAACCAGTGATCACCTGGCCGCTTTTCGAATCGATAGTGTCATTCATTGGTGGTATGTTAATTCCCGTAAATAGAAAACTTCATACACGATTTCAGTGGAATCTTGCCTTTGATGGAAAGCACGCGTTCGTATGAAAAAGATAAAGCTGAAAAAGACAAGAAGAAACATGTATCGTTCGGTGAAACAACGGTGACTACTGTTCCTACAACATCGACCACCGATTTCGCAGTTGGACAACATGTTCAAATGAAGAAAGCTCCGTTGTATCCTGCTGGAAGTGTGGCTGCTCACATTAACACTCCAAATCCAATGGTTCATAAAGTCAAGATGTTTCTAGTCATATTTGATTTCTTTCAGATCGGTGTTCTCCTGGAAGATTGCTGGGCCGCCAATGAACAGTGTCGTTTCCGCTGCATGAATCCAACTGAGTACGATTTTGAAATGGAAATCGATGGATTCGTTAACTCCTTGAAGTCATCTGCTCTTTCCACTGAAGCTTCTTCCAGCGAATCTACTTCAGAAACTAATCCAGATTCGTCTGTGTCTCGGAAACGTCCGCTCACCGTTCAACAACCTGAAGTTCACACCATTCCTCCAGCGGAATTCGGAAGACGACGAGTAGAAGTTTGGCCAGTTGAAGACCTTGTCTGGATTCACGAGCATCGAAAAAGAGATCTCATGAGTGTTCAAGTGGTGGACAACAATCTTTTGGCAGTCAAATACTTGCCAAGTACCAACCAGACACCGATCTTCCAAAGCATTTTTAGTGAACGATTGGAAATGGATGGAATGGTATTTGAAATTTGATATCTGAGACAACTACCAATATGAATAATTTTCAGCCACGTTCTGTTGATCCTCTTCAGAGAATCACAGATTCTGATAACATGCGTTTGCTTCGGAAAGAAGATTTGCAAATCGTTGATAAATGCCCGCCACGGGCTCCAATCATCTTGCAGAAAGAACTTTCTAAGTTCGATGTTGACTCAAATCGTATCATTGTTTCAATGGTCGCTGATTTGAATGAGCTCCGAGTTTTGGCCAGAAGCAAACACATCGAACGAGGAATGCATATGTATCGAGTTAGCACAACGGGAAAAGTGATATCCAGAAGACGGGTCCCCGTTTTCTTACCGTCAGTTGAGCGTCCGATTCCAGGATCAACTACTCCGAAGTTGATCACATTTGGAGATGTATGTGTTAGTCTCGTATCTCAATTCATGCTATTTTTCCAGCCACGAACTCTGTTTCTTCGTGATACTGCTGGTCAGCTGATCCCACTTCAGCGTGATGCTCTCAACGGGTTCCGGGAGCCACCAGCTATGCACTCGCAGCCAATTCTTCACATTGCAACTTCCTGCAGGCCAACATCTAATAGTTTGTCATCATCATCAGAGGTTAGTCTTACAGAAGTTTGGCTTTAAGAACTCGTGGATTTTCAGAAAAGTCTCCCATGGCAAGGCTCGATGCTTGTGATTCCTGGTGTTAGCCGCCCATGGCATAATACGTACATCAAGGATGGCTCTTCTCTGATGCAAATGGTTCTTTACTGTGATTCTGATGGTGTCAGTTTCTTCCTGGATCGGCTGCAAGAGCTGAGAAGTGAGTTCAGTTTGATATTGAGCAGCTTTTGAAAATTATTTTTTCTAGTGAACAATTCGATCCCGCAATACGATTTCCGACAAATTATGAACGAACAATTGTTCGCTGTTGGCTCTGATTTATGCTCGAACGTTCTTCATGCTGCAATCCGCTTGACAGGTGCTCAGAAGAACGCCGACGATAGCGATAAAGTAACACCTGATTCAAATTTCCCACCGCTGTTCCCAACGAAGAATTCTGCACCACCGCCACCACCTCCACCTCAAGATGTTGTGATGGAAGAAGATTCTACACATGCACCATCTACAGATGACGCTGGTCCTTCAAATGTCTCGGAAGAAGGAGGAGAAGAAGAAGAAGGAAGGTGGTCACGTGTTCTTAGAAGCAGACCCAATAGACAAGGGCAAGTGACGCCGCACAAGAAACAAAAGAAGGAACGAAGAGCAAACTCTGAGGACATGGAAGATTCCGGGGAAAATATTTCTTTTTCTACTGGACGATCGGAACACACTGGAATGCCATTTGGGTCCCCAAGACCACAAGAAGTTCGGCAGAAATCAGCGATGACAATTGTGGAAACACTTCTGAAGCATCCAGCAATGTTTTACGACAAGGACGCGGGACAAGACGTTGATTACATGAACGAACCAGATAGATTGTCGGCTATCAAAACACTTCTGCTCAGCCGTGACCTGAATGGAATGACCCCTTTCCAATCTGCAATCAACCAACGAGCATACGGAGCTGCATACACAATCTGGAGAACATTACTGCAACTGGACTTCAGAAGCATGACAGAGGAACAGAAGCTGAAATACATATTCCCTGGCTTTAGTGCGGATGAAACTCATAATGCAGACGATTCACCACTATTCATTCTTTGCTACAACGACGTTTGTTCGTTCACTTGGACAGGAGAAGACCATATCAACCAAGACATTTATGAATGCAAAACATGTGGATTGACTGGATCTTTGTGTTGTTGTTCGGAATGTGCTCTTACTTGTCACCGAAATCACGATTGTCGACTGAAAAGGACATCTCCAACTGCATATTGTGATTGTTGGGAGAAGAGTAGTTGTAAGGCTCTCATTAATGGTAACGAAGCGATGCGTGACTATCTACTGATGCAACTACTCAGCCACACCCGCCTTTACGAATATCCGAATGCGCGAAACGAGCATATCATGCTGTTTTTGGCTCGAACGGTTATACGTCAGACACGCGAGCAGACATTCTCTCAGAAACGCAGAAGTCGCTACCGTCACGTCCTACCTCCACAATCAACGACTTCCGGAACTCCAGAGCACAATTTGAATCCGCCAAAGTTTGCGAAGCAAGCACTGGCTCATTGTTGCGTTAATCCATATGTGGTTGTAAATTCGATCAAGTTTGGAAGTAGCAAAAGGTAAGAACAAATCGCTGTACATATATACGGAATGTACTTTCAGATCCGACTTCGCCACTCCCGCTGAGCTCCATTTTGTTTTCCAAAACTCAGCTGCACACCTGGATAAGCTAACATTTGCCCTGTCGAACAAACATCTTCAAGAATACTCTAGAAAGTATGTTGAAACGATCCGAAATCTACTTTCTGGTACGACAAAGCCGTTACAATCGGACCCGGATATTGAGATCTGGGCTTCCCGTTTTGTTCGTAGTCTGGTTCGAGTCCTCACATTGGCAATCAATGTTTCTCCTTTGGCACCAAGCACGATTCTATCTCGTGAAGATCCGGAAGGTCCTAAAGAAGCAAGAAGAGACGAGGAACGTATTCGCCCGGGTACATATCAAACGTTTCATGCTATGGTACTCAGTAAAAAAGACAACACAAAGTTATCCGAAAAGTCTGCATCATTCGTGGCAATGGTCAACAGAATTATGAATGTGTTCCAAAAGTTTCCCACATTTGCTGTAGTCCAGTTAGCTATCGCTGCTGATGCGGTTTTCGAACCAGTTCGAGATGGAATGCTGAAACCAATGGTTAATCCGGCTTCAGCTGGAAGTACTAACGATCCGTTGGACGTTCTTGAGAAATACTTCGCCAGTGATTTGTCGTTCGCTGAGGTGTTGAAAAAGTCGAAGAAGGAGGAAAAATCATATGCAGCAGCAAAGTCAGAGTCCAAAAGAATGCGGAGGGTTAGTCCTGTTTGAATTTTTTGCAATAAAAAAATTTGTTTCAGACTAGTCGGCGGGATACAGACCGTGAGAATGGATCTGATAATCGGGAGAGTATGGAAGATGAACGTTCCGCCGCTGGTGATCGTGCATCGGAATCTCACGATACAGCACGTGTTCGGAATGATTCTGTAGCTACTTCAACAGCAGTCGCAACTCCTCGCCGTCGACGTCTTCTATCGGGAAATACAACAAATGATACAAATGAAGATAATGAGGAGAGAACTGGTCAACCGAGAGAAATTGAGGTAGAATCGAGCAGCTCAGATGAGGATAACGATGATGAAGAAGATGTAGATGATGACGATGAGGACGACGACGAGGACGATGATGACGACGATGATGAGGATAGTGAGAGACCAGCGGATGAGCGTCAAGGAGGAGAAGATAGAGATGACGATGAAGCAGCTCAAATGGACGAAATTAGAAGAAGAGAAGAACATATTTCCCGTATTGTTGAAGTGCCTGAACGAGACGAAGAAGGAGAATGGAATCCTTATGACGCTGCCAGTCCATCGCCTCGTCGTGGAGACTTCGACGACAACTCTTCTGATTCACAAGAAGGTGGTCCACGTGAACCTGCATTCGTAGTTGAGAATGTTGATCCACAGGCTGAAGGAGGTGACGCTGCAGTTGCCCCTGCTACTATGTCGAGGCCACTGGCTGAGAGTATGTTTAAAAGCTCTTGAAGCATATTCTAACAAATTAAAATAGTTTTAGACTCAACGAATAGGTCTCGACAACGACGTAACTACGCGTACCACGAAATTCATCGTAGAGTTGCTGATCCGTCTGGACAGCCGGTATGTTTTCAATGACTTTAAACTATACATTGTGTTCTATTCGCATTCCTAAATTTACAGCGAATCGATAGATACTATCCTTATCGTTTCCCACCGAGAAGCAGCTTCTTGAACAGTCGAAGAGAGGAATCCTCCAATTCTCAAGGCTCTTCATCCACCACAGCAGCGAACTCCACTGGAGGAGCTCAAGACTCAGCTCCTGCTGCTTCATCAACAGCTTCGACATCCAATTCGAGTAGTCAGAGTCGTCCGTCTGCTTCAACTGCTTCCGGCTCTAGTTCTTCTGCTACTGGAGGTGCTCAGGCCAATCAGGAATCTTCTCCAAGCTCCAAAAAGTCACCTGAACACACCGATCAACCAACACTTGAAACAGCTCGCGAACAACTTGCACTGACATTCAGTGTTCTTGTTCGAGCAGGATGTGATATTCTTGAGAACATGGTTCGACCAGGAATGGCTAATCGCGTACCACTGAATGAAAATGCAAAGCGTTCACATTTGAAGGTTTCGCCTGGATAATTTTTCCATAGAGATAATTTATGTATTCAGGCAAAACAAGTATTCGGTGAGATTCTACACGAGACGTTCCGTTGGATGGGAAGAGTTTTCGAATCAACTGAAGCTAGAATAAATTTCAATACGTCTTTCGAGAAATCGCTGTTCCGTCCCGTTTCACCTAATTGGGATGATAAAAGAGGACGGAAAGAAGCAATGAACTACGTTCATTCTTTATTGCGATTGGCTGTGGACGATGCAAAGGATGCTTTGGCTCATGTTGAGGTTGAAATGCTGTATCCTGTTGCACTCGTAGCCGATGCTTACTTCCAATTTTTGAATTGCAGTGTTGAGAAACCAATTGTTGGTTTTCCTTTTTTTCAAAGCGAATATTATTTTTCTTCAGGAGCTCAAACAGATCATCGATAACTATGAAGACAGCCGTCGTCGTGAATACCGAGAAAAGTGTGAACAGACTGATCGTGATTTGATTATTGGCTTTTTCATGAGACCTGTGTCGTTGAGTTGGCCCGGACATCTACACGACGGAGCCTGGGACACGATCTCAGGACGTCATAATGTTCTACGAACATTGAAGTTTGAAGAAGAGTGTCCAATGATTGGAGGACCCAAGATTCTTACGATGAGTTCGAAAGCTGAGGAATTGTTCCGAGAACCAAATTTGGATGATGCGAAGAGACAAACATCAAGTTACTTGAATGTATGTTATATATTTCGTTACGATCTTTAAAGTTTTATTGTTTAGGATCCTATCGAAGAGTACACCTACAAGATTCTCGATCGCCCATTTGAATATCGGTGCCCAGGCACAAGTCTCGCAATTGTTTCGCATCGTCGTAGAATGGAACATGATTTCATCAATTTCACTCGGGAATTTTATCATGAAAAAGAGATTCCTAAAAATGATCACAGGAATTTCTTTACACAAGCCGAGATATTCCCTGGATTCGTCGCTAAAAACGAGGACGCTGTTTCGAAATTCAAGGATAACCTTCTCACGCATTCGTGTGAACGAGAGAATCTGTTCTTCTCAAAATGGCAGAAAACTTTGAAAGTAATTGGATCTCGCTTCTACGATAGACTGACTGAAGCACTGGGAACCGACGTCGCTTTTGAGCATTCTATAATGCTTCGAAGACTGGCTTCTTTTGAAACAAAGTACCAACTGTTCAACAAAGCAACAGAAAAGTACCGAACACAACACTCCAATGTCAAAGAAATTGTTTTGGACGTACGAAGAGAATCCGCCAGTCTTTTCCGAGACACGATGATTCAACTCAGTGGATTGTATTCCAAGAGGATGGCATCAGTTCGTTTGGTAGATACGCCGTTAGCTGGAACTCGACTCCGTGTTCATTTCATTGATGAGCCAGGAGAGGGAACAGGTGTCACTCGTAGTTTCTATACTGCATTTGCTGAATCCTGTATGGAAGAAGTGGCTCCATTCGAAACTGATATTGCGCATGAGAAAGTGCTTCTCGCTCAAGCTGTTCAGAAGAACGACTGCGAAAACGGTAAGAGTTGTTCTTGTTCAATTGAAAAAACTATTGGTTCGCAGATGAAACGACCAAAATACGGGCCAAATCCCGTCGAGAGCAAGCTCTCCGTTTAAAGACTCACATTCATCGCCTCAACACTTTCCAACTCGACTTGTCAGCTGCCCGATTTGATATCAAAGGCAAAACCACATGGGACAAAATTCTGCCAGATCGTTCGGCAGAGTCAACACCTGCCATTCCAGCCTATTGGAGTGATCATGAGGAAACACTCCAAAAAATCTATAACATGTAAGTTTCTCCTTCGTTTCAAAATGAATTCCGTTAAACCGAATATCGTTTAGAATAACTGAATTCCAAATCGATGAAAAGTGCATTGGGAGAGTGTTGGGAATCATGTGTCAACTTCCGTATGATGTTTTCCTGAGTGCCGTTCACAATGATGACACTTTGCGTATTCATATTCAAAGAGTTTTGGCAGAATTGCGTGCTGATGGCGAAATCGATGAGAACGTACAAGTCGCCCGACCACCACAACCACGAAATGATGAAGAGCGGTATGCAGCTGTAGCTGGAGCGGCGGAGTATCAGATGGATAAACTGTTCGAGAAGGCACCATATGGAGAATGTTACGTTCCGAAAATTGGAAACGGTTCTACTTTGAGAATCGCCGCGTTTAGAACTGTTGGTCGAATCATGGGAATCTGCCTTTCCCAGGGAGATATCTTCCCGCTGAGATTTGCTAGACATGTTTATTCTTTCATTTTGAAACAACCAATTTGTTGGCTTGATCTTGGCTTCTACGATCCAACACTTTTCAACAATCTCCGTTCGCTTCTCCAAACGAATTTCAAAGAACAACCCGAGCTGGACACTGATTTCACCTACAACGAGGTGACAGCTGGCGATGTGAGTTTCAGATGCACTTTCAAAGAATCCAACTTTTCATTTTTTAGAAAAGCACTGTTGTCTCTTTGAAACCAAACGGAGAAAACATTATGGTGAACCAGGATAATGTTGTGGAGTTTGTATACAAATACGCTGAACGAGTTCTTGTTGGAAAACGAATTGCTGCTTTCGAAGCCATGAGAGAAGGCATTTTGGATGTGATTCCGGAGAATATGCTCAATGGATTGACACCGGAAGATCTCAGATTGATTATCTGTGGAATCGAATCGGTAATATATTTCCTTCATATTGCTTCGCAATTTCAGTTAATTCTTTTCAGGTTTCCATCAGTGTTCTACAAGCAAACACCTCTTTCCTTGATGAGAGTCGTGCTTCTCAAGAAACACTGAACCGTTTCAAGCAATGGTTCTGGCAAGTTATTGAATCATTCACTCCACAAGAAAAGCAAGATCTCGTGTTTTTCTGGACCGGCTCTCCATCGCTTCCTGCAACCGGGAAATGGCAAAGTTCTGCCAGTGTGATGCTCCGCCCACAAGAAGACATTTTCCTTCCAACTGCGAATACCTGTATCTCTCGTCTCTATGTTCCAGTCTACTCATCTAAGCGGATGCTCCGTTCGAAGCTATTGGTAGCTATCAAAGCCAGGAACTTCGGATTTGTCTGAAGTCGTTATCCACGTTTTTAATTATTTTCAAATTCTTTCTAACTTCACTCCCATTCATAACAAGTTTATTTTAACTGATTCTATTTCGTATTTTCCAGCCAGTTCATTCAGCGGGAATTACCTGAAAATCTCTTTGTACATGCTTTCCGTAACACTTTTCTGTTAGACTTCCACCAATGATGATTTTTTAGCTACTACCCCATTAAGTGATTACAGTTTACCTCAATCGCCACAGGATTCGAAATTTTCGTTCGGGATTCACCCACCCAATTTGCATTTTCAGTTTCTGTGTGCGACGAGAATTCGTTTTTTTACTTGTGATCAAATCTGTTCTCTTGTAGTAATGAACTGTTTTGTATGAATCGTTTTTGAAACAAGTGTCTCAATTATTCAACCAAAGGCCCAATACAAATCGGTTTCCCTATTTTCAGAGTCTCATTTTCCAGAATTTTTAGGCCCTGTACTCCGGGAGTACATCAAAAGAGGGTAAATATTTATTTATTCATCAAATGGGTACGTCGTGTTTGACCCAAAGGATACATTGTCTGAAAGGGGAACATGCCTGGAAAACTCATTCCATTTAAAACTTGACAAATTTCGTCGAATTTTTTCCATTTTACTCAGAGGAGCTCATCCTTTTCAGATTTATTCTACAGCCCACGAGAACGCATTGAAAAACGCCTGAATGATTTGAAATTGAGAATTTTCACTGTTTTCGGTTAAACTGTGCTCTATGCTCTTGAAGTCATGGTGTTTTGTTTTATTCTTGAATCTTCCAAAAATTAGAGGAAAAATCGGTGGAAAACTGTAGAAAACTGGTGAAATGTCCCTAATAAGGTCGACGACCTAAGCCCCGCCCACATTACACGCAAAGTATAGTGGACGGCGGAACCCGGCAGATGTCGGTACATCCGGGGGACCCCACTATATAATCCACCTCGTTTGGAGTGTCTTTCGGTGGATATTACTCCGATGAAAAATTGACAAAGTTGCCGGTGTGGATTTACGGTAAACAATGCGCGCATCCGGGATTTCGGAGTGTTGTAGTCGGCTTACCGTATCAGACCCATATCGCACACATCGCCCACCCACCCAGAATCCATCTAGGATACGCGCGTATTCGGAACACTCGATTCAGCCTCTCCCGCATCGCACACATATGAGACTCATCGCAGCTCATTGTTCGCGATGTGTCAAACGGACTTCTAGAGGATCGCATATGGATCGGGTCCTTTATGCGCATCATCGCCCAGGACCTGTGTCAATCTCTTCTGAGTCGGCTGAGATCCTAAGGATGGTTGGCAGGAGCTTCTAGGTTAGTATGCATACTTCCTAGTGGCTTAGTAGAGATTGTGTGATGGAGGAACCCCCGAGGCCCGAACCTGGTATGGATCCCGGGAATTTTCTGAGCTCTGAACGGCCTGTGTTGCAAAAAAAAAACTAGATCCGAAGTATAATTTTGGTAAAATGATTAATTTTCGTCAGCTTTTCGTCAGCTTTCCGTCCGTTTTTTGTTTGTCCGTCAGGTTCGTCCGTCAGATTTTTTCTTCAGGTTTTTTCGTCAGGGTTTTTCTTCAGATTTTTCGTCAGGTTCGACCGTTTGGCGACGTCACGCGGTCGAATCTGACAAAGAAACCTGACGAAGAAACCTGATGAAAAAAAAACCTGACGGACGGACCTCGCGGACCTCACGGACGGACCTCACGGACGAACCTCACGGACCTTACGGACGAACCTGACGGAACGAACCTCACGGACGGACCACACGGCCGACCCGAAGTGTGGGCCTAAAAATTTTAGCAAACAAGACTCTGAAAATAGGGAACTTTTAGCACATGAGACAAACGATATTCTAGAATCTGCCAAATGTATGTGACAGATGAGCGGGACTCTTCTCTCCTTCTTTCGGATGATTTTTTTTTCATTCCGTCTTTCAGAATTGTCATTTCATTCCTGTTATTGCTACCAACTCGTGAGAAAAGTTCCTTTAAATAGTAAGATTGCAATTTATTTCAAGACAAAACGGGAAAGAATAAACGGGTGGAGTTGGGAGGGAGAAGGAGAGGGAAAATAGCGTCACAAGTTTCAAAGTACACCAGCTAACCGAAGAAAATTAAAATCGGTCTTCCCAAGGATCTCTTCAAAAATGAAAAGATATGGAATGGACCATCTAAACGAAAGCGGGAGCAGCAACTAGAAGAAAATAATACACTAAAATATTAAGAGGTTGAAAGAAGATGAAGAAAGAAGAAAAAGAAATAAAATAATGGAATAATTGAAAGAGGTGTTGGGTTTGTGTGAAGGCTTATGTATATATAAATTGTATGTATAAATGGTACAATTCTATCAGTCGGACTAAAAAAATACTACTTCCATGGGGTAACTATGGGTGGGGGGCCAAAGAGTGTGGGGGAACAGGGTCTGTACAACAAAATCACCGGGGGTTACTGCAGAAAAAAAGAGCTGGACGACGCCAGGAAAGAATAATTATGGGTATTATGTTGGATAATAATAGCAGTGAATAAGATTTTTTGAACAGAAGAAAGACGATTGAATTGGAGTTTAGGGGCTGTGGTGGGAGATGCGATTTGGAGGGATTATTAGAGAAAAAAGAAAGATGTAATTCACTGCTTAAAGAAAGATTAAAGCTGCCTGTAAATCAAAAAAAAAGTACGGTACGGGGATGGGGAAAAAGAATCACAATCTATTTGGGAGGCTGAAAGTTGGGGTAGGTTTTTAACTTCAACTAGATGAGGGGTTGAGGATTTTGTTTGGATTTCTGAAGACTTCCAAATAAAAACTCACTAAAGAAATTCATAGAGAAAAAAAGGATCAGTATAAAGGCTGCTATATTTTGCATGTTGCTTGTTGAAAGTCCTATGGGTGATACAAAAAAATAAGGCTTTAGAAACCAGATGATACACTAGGGGCGATTAAATCTTAATTCAACGAGGGATATACTGTGCGTTCTTTTGGCACCGGGGGGCAAATTATACGAAGACAGCTAGACGGGGCGAAATATGGGATCACTGGGTGAAATACGGGGAACATACACACACGGGACGACAAACACAAGCACAACACTGAAAGAGAAACGAAATGCTAGAAGAAGGGGCAAAGACTAGATGAAGACTGGAATTAATACATTCTGAAAGAGTTTCAAAGGTAGAAGGATGAGAAAATGTGATGATAATGACTGGCGAGATGATTGCATGATGACGTGGGGATTTCTATGACACTTAGTTAGCAGCTGTAGCCACTTGGTTAGATTCAGTCTGAAATAAAATTATAGAAGAATTGTAGAATTAATCAAAACGAAAATTTAAAAAAACACCGAAATGGTTTTCGATTTCTCACCAAAAGTTGTTGCTGCTGTGGCTGCATATCGCTGGCCTCTGACTCTTCCATATCCTCATCAGCATCAATCATATCTTCTTTCGAAGTTGCTGTTGGTGTCGTATTACTGACATTCAGCGCTTGCAACCAATTCAATACGATCTGGTTGCTTTGACTGACGGCACTGGTTGGTGGTTGTGGAGGAGCTGGGAGAGATTGGGTCGATAAGGCTAGAAGTGAAGTGGCATCTGCAAGAGCTGATGGAGATGGACGGATGGATCGCTCTGAAAATTTATTTGCTATATTTCAAGGTGTTCAGGAGACAAGCAAACCTGGTGGGGATGCTCCTTCACGACGCCCTCCTTGGGTATTCACCACACACTTTCTCATGTGCTTTTCGAGAGTTGAATGAACTGAGAAAGGCATGCTGCAGATGTAACAGTGATACGTTTCTTTTCCTTGTTGTCCATGAGTTCTCATATGTCGAGTGAGTTTGCTGCTTTGAGCACATGCATATGGACACAATTGACATTTGTACGGTTTTTCTCCAGTGTGGGATCGAAGGTGGACAATCAGGTTGGAACGATTTGTGAATACCTTGTTACAAAAGTTACATCTCTCTTTCTTGATATTGTTCTGTCTCCGAGCAGCCGGCTCAGCAAGCTCCGAGTCGTCCACAATAATCAGTTGATCCTCTTCTTCAATCTTCATACTTTTTCGTGGAGGAGTCATCTCTTCTTCTGGAGACGCACGACGTCTGATTGCTGCTGATGCGGGTCTTGATGTGAATGCAGATGGCTCATCAGAAGTGCTGCTGGAAATGAAAATTATAATAATCCAAATAGGACATTGGTCATTGACTTACAGTCTATTGAGACTCTGAAACAATGGTGTTGGTGCTAATTGTGGCTGAGGTGTGGCGACTTGTGGAACAGAAGCTGACAGAGCTTGTTGTTGTTGTTGCTGTTGCTGCTGTTGTTGTTGAGCTTGTTGTTGTTGTTGAAGATTGTTTGAGAGATTCAGAAGAGCAACTGCAGTACTATTTGTCATCGGATATGGCATTTGCTGAATCGAGGCATAATAGTCTTGCATGGCAGCGAGCATTGTTGGCTGCATCCAGACATTTGGCACTGATCCCGAAGTCTGGAATCCTTGTGAATTGGCTGGAGTTGGAAGCTGAGGTTGAGAAGCTCTTGCGTTCAGAAGAGATGTTGATGTGAATGCAGACACTTGCTCTTCTTCAGTCTCTTCGCTTGGCATCAACCTCCGAAGAGCCATCAATGGCTTCTGATCTTGTTCTCCTGCTCTTGTGGCCAATTCTTTTAATCGGTCCGAACAGTAGCTGTTAAGCATTGTGGAATCAGACTTCATGGATGTCGGATGAAGGATCTTCGACGAATCATTGTGATTGTATCTCGAGGACATTAACATTGAATCATTTGATGTTGGGGATGACGTTGACGTTACTGATACATCTGATTCTGGAAGTGTCTCCTGACAAACTCTCAATCCGTGGACATTGTAACTGTGCTTCAGAAGTGTCCATACATCTCCGAATCTCTCTTTGCAAGCACAACATGTCAGTGACTTTGTGGAGTTTCCTGTAAACCATAACTTATTTTCCTATCCATTATTGCAAAACTCCATCTGACAATGGCAGTTGGTTAAACTTTGATTACTCATTGCGTGGCTATTTCTGACAAACTACGCGGTCAGTTTGTGGACTCAAGACTCAGATATTTCGCGATGCCATCCATTACTACTTCTCTTGTGCACACAAAAACTTTCATTTATCGGAAACGACTTGTTCAATAACCCACAGTTCCCTTTTTTCTCGATCTATAGGTCGCTATTCTTATTTTTGGGGTCACAAGGCTATGACGTGGATGTAAATCAACAAGAAGTCCCTGTCAAGTAACCTGACCTCTGTCAGAATCGAAAGAGCCGTCGACCGGTCTTTGACGACCCCAGGAGCCTCCGTTGATTCTCTATTCACATTCTTCCTATTCACGTACGAGTGACAAAAAAGAAAAGGCGCCGAGTTTCAAGAGTCTGTCGCAGAAATTGAGTTGGTGCGTTTGCGCGGCGCCCTGTCTCAACCCTCAAATTCTTCTCAAATTGCCGGTCAAAACTGGTCCACTCGGCAGTACATAGTCGTTCTGCGTCTCTCTGATCTCAATAATCTATTGCCACGTGGTAACTCTAAGTCTATTCACGTTGAACACTCTCTACGAATCGCTTCCCGCAACTCGCCGCAAAAAGAAGAAGAAGTCTGTTGGTGCCCTGTGCGGTAAACAACGAGCGAAGTTATGGATGGCGAAATGTGGAAAAACATTCAAGTACCGTAACCCTCTGGACAAACAAAAACTGAAAGTCGAGTTGGAAGTTGCCTATAGTTTAGAATTTCCTATCCTGGCGGAGTCCGGAAAGTACATTGTACTGGAAGGACAATCAAATATGCTCTGATCAAACCTACCTAAGTCATTTGTGTCTGTGGTGACGTCCATGTTGTAATTCAGGAGAAGAGGATTCGCAGATGTTGATCGACCACATCGATTCTGAAAATTCATAACTCCCTTGTATTTCATTTTCATGTTATGCCTCAAAAAATATTTGAGATTGTTGATGGCAATGGCACAGTGACTCTTCTACAGTTTGTCAGAAGGGTCGCTCTATTTGCACAGGTACTACTATCTCCTATGGAGAATTTCAGAGCCCTCTGCGCCGTCCGACAGTTTTTCAATGTCCAGAACAAACACGAAAAGACGTGGAAAAGTGAGAGGACTAACCCTCTTGGTCATGGGACGTTTTGAGGGAGCGGGCGCCAGATGGGTCTTTTCTGACTGGGCTAAGGCTCTTTCTGGGGGTAAATATTGGTCAAATAATTTCAAAATCAACTCCCTACCAGCGCCGCCGGGTTGAAGGTTCGCCGTCTTGATCGGTCGAAACTGCGTGGTGTCACTTCGCAGTCATCCGATGGGGTCAGTTTTCCGCCGCAGTTTGACACCTGAAAAATAATGAAACAATACAAATAAACAACTGGAAAATGTGATCAGAATGAAATCATAGACAATAAAAAACTTCCAAATCTCTTACTTTGTGCTCGATGAAGTTTGAAAAGCAGCTCAATGAAAAACTCGTATGACATTCTCCACAAACTACAATATCCGTTCGATCCAACTCTTGTCTGGGAGAGTCTGCACCATCATGAGACATCGGAGAATCCGATGCTTTCAATTCACTCAAATCATGTTCAACTGTTGATTCGACTCCAGAAACTCCTGAATCAGATGATGCCATTTGAGAGTTACCTGAAAAAACCAAGCAATATGATGCATGCTCGTAAAGAAACATGTCAACTCAAATAATGTATGCTTGCAGACCCCTCAAAGACCTCTCGGAAGACTAGATTTTTGGTGATCTACAACTTATGAAAGTATGGTAAACTTAAGGAAAACTAGGTCATGTCATGTCAACTTCACTGTGCCTGCTCTACAAGTCTCACCCTTTTTTGCTACCTCTTTTTTTGGGCATGCCCTTCTCATTTTTTTGTTATATCATGTTTTTTTTCTGTGCGTGGAAGTGAACATTCAGTGTGTTGCTTACGGCACACTTTGTGCTTCAGTTTTTTGTTGTGCGACTGTTTGCGTTTCCGTCGATCTGATCAAATGTTTGCGGTCGATTTCCGCGCGGAAGACACTTTTTGGCGCAAGCGCCAGCGTGTGACGTCACACGTGTAATCACTTCCAGTCATTGATATCAAGAAAGGTGCGGAAAAGAATGGGAATCAGGACAGGGGGAACGATGAATAATAATATGGGAACAGAAAGAAAAAACTTACTGGTTAGAAATGTGGTCAGACGTTTCTTCAAATCAAGGCGGTAATCTGGAATGGAATAAGAATAATAAAAGATTCTTGAATATCTGAAAACCATACCACTTTTATCGTCGTGGCTACTGGTGGCTGTCGGCTCTTCTGCTCCACTGTCAACTTCACTATTCGCCTTCTTTCGCCGACGCCCCGACGAAGACGTTTCTATTGTCTGAAAATTAATAGTTTCAGTAAAGTCTAGAAAATATTAAATCTTGTTTTCAGTACCGGTAGATGTAACATTTTGTCAAGTGTTGATGAAATCAGGTGTTTCAGATCAGAATTTTCAGAATAGGTTCCAACTCTCGAACCAAGTTTTCAGAATCAGGGGTCACTTAAACACTTGGAGAGAGATAGTTAGGGAGTAGATCACAAAAGTTTGCGTGGAAAATGAGCTATCCCGAAAGAAAAAGAGCATATGACTTGGCAGAGAGGGGCGTAGCAGGGGGCGCGAGGGGTTACAGTGTATGTGTACAGTACTCGGGGCATCAGAGCCACAATATAACTAGAGCAAATACTTCTCGTTTTTTTTTCTGGCAGAAGAAGAAGGCCGATTGGTCGAGAACGGAGGAGAAGAATGGAAGACACGCTTTTTTGTTCGCTTTTTGAAACTTTGCGTTCATTCATTCAGTCTCACCGAACTCTTTTTTAGAGTAGGAAGAAATCGAATGAGTCAATTTTTCATAAGAAAAAGAACAACCAAATAAAGAACAGAACTGAAAACTTTGATAACAAAAAAAAATCAAGACCTAACTAAAATAGCTGAAAACCTTACTTGGATAACTCCGGGGCCGAGCAAAAATTCATTTAGAAAACGCATCTTTCGAAATATTTAGGTCTCAATTTTCTTCAAGAAGAAAGATTTTGAAATGGTCCAAAAAGTGAGAAAACTGGACGCCCCTATTCCTTGTCATTGTCCTTCCAGACAACGCTGATAACAAAAGTAGTTGGCTCCGCCCCCTTCAGAAACTAGGAACAAAGGAATCGCAACTTGCAAATTTAAGATGATGACTGTGTTAGAAATGATCACGCGGATAACTGATAAGGGTCCTTAAAAGTGCATTCGAGACAAAAAATAGGGATAGTTTACCAAAAAAAGTTTCCAGAAAAAAAGAGATGGCTCACCTGTGATTTAGAACGTCCACTACTCATGTGAAGTCGTCGCTCTTCTTCTTCTTTTTTCTTCAACCGGGAAATTTTGTGTAAAATCGCGGCCCTCTAAATATGGTTTGGTATCCAATAGGTGAAGTAATATGGTCCTGAAATATGGATATTAGATTTCAAAATTCTGAATTCTAGAAGAACTAACTGAATTGTCAAGACACATAAAACATCAATGTTTGTAATTCTGGAATACACGCTGGAAGATGTGCTGCCGCGCGTGACGTAGATGGTGTTGCGGGTGTACTGTAATAAAAAAAGAATTGATAAATAGTAGAAGTGAAGATCATGACAGCAAAAACGGAAGGAATAGGAACGGCCGAACGAGTCAGAGAAGAAAAAAGAAACATTACGCAATCGGGTATCGTTATCAAAGAAGCCTATTGATTGTGCCGTTGCTCCAGGCCATTAAAAAATCAGAAAGAAACACAACGTAGTAAAAAACGGTCACTATTGATAAGGGATACTGCGTCCGGCGCCGCGGCAAAGAAGAAGACAATGGAAACGTTTCGAATTGTTTCAGAGCACATGGAAAAATGATGCTAAAAATAGAAACGACGATGCTAAAAGCGGTGTCAGATGTTGCTTTGTTGGGTGTTGATTTGATCGAGATAGGAGCAAAAAACGATGGACAAGAGAAAGACAATAGAATATGCGATAAGAAGCAAAAAAACTGAAGTGATAGGAGAAGTAGTTACGAATAATAACTGAAAGTGAGGGAGAATAAGAAGGGACTCTCTAGAGGTAAATGAAGGGATGCAATGAGTCTGGATACCCAATGGCTAGAAAAAAAGAAGAAAAAGAAGAATGAGAACAAAAAAAAATGGCTTGGGGAAAAAAAGGAATAAAAAGCTGGATGGCCACCCACAGAGTCCTTTTTTGCCGGACAGTATGAATCGGCAGTGTGGGAGAATGGCGCGTAAGCCCTAGGTGTCTGTGCAAAAAAGTGCAAGTACTCATGTCTCGTTGAAACATGCTGCTGGGCGCCGCGCACCGGGCAGACGATCCGCGCGGAAGTCAGAGGAGGTAGGCTCCGCCCATTTTCGTGTGACGTCGAGCATAGAGCATACATTGCATGAAAAAAAATGCGTGAGTCGTCGGTGTCGGGGTTTCATTTGGTGTGTCCCTCCCGTTGGCATGGAATACACACTCACATACACACGGAAAATGACGCGAAAAGCTGCGCAAATACAGTTCCCCCTCTTCCCGATATTTTTTCCGCGCCCACCTCGATCTGGAAGTGTAGAAAAGTGTGCGCTTCCAGAAGACGCGGAGAGAAGAAAAGTGATCGGGGAAAAGCAGAAGAAGAAGGAGAAGGGGCCTCCCTCCACACAAGCTACACAGTCACTTTTTATTATTTCGCTTTTATATTCAAAAAAGCGGAGCAGAAAAGACAAGTACAGAAAGTGAGATTCAGACGTCGAGACGGGGAGAACGGTTTCGTTGGGCGCCCGGGGCGCTGGAAAAAAGTGAAGAAGAGAAGATGCACAAAAGAAGGGAAACAGTAACAATGTATACACGGAATACTCTCTGGAACACTTTTCTCTGTAACGTCACATGTGACTCCGAAAAAGGTACAATCTGAAGAGAACAACCAGTTGATGGAATGAGATGGTAAGAGAGGATACTCTAAAGTTTTTTGACGGACACACACATTCACTCATTCACTCACACGCCTGAGATTCGATTCGATTCAAAATTCAGGTCGTGGTCTCGACAGAGAGAAATAGACAGAAGACCACCGGAGAAGAGACCAAGGGGCACCTCCCGAGACACAATACGGTCATTTTTGGTCATCTTGACCGTAACTGGTATTTTACACAAAATGTGTCGTCGGTTGTATTTCTTCTCAATGGTCATGGAACGGGAACGGAAGTCGAAAATTTTGATCCACAATGGTTTTAGGTTTTGGTCCTTACCGGAATCGGTATGAAACATGGAACCACTAGACCAGAGGCTCTAATCTCCTAGAAAAGTGGAGAAAACCAATAATCCAAATCTAATGCAAACCTCTTGATCCGAAAGGTTTAAAATGGAAAACCTAGACTCTGGTATAGGCTCAATTTCACAATTCTCCTCGGAACCTATGCACTACCGTGTACTTGTAGATTTGGGAGTCCCTGGATCATCCCCGATACTTTTCAAGCATTTGGGATGCCCCCGAGCTCACCCCGAGTTCAGTGTAACAAGTGGATCAAAAAAACGAAAAATGGCCAGACAGGGAGCCGTGTGTCCAGGTACACGTCGATGGCACTCTAATCCATCGCGCCCCCCAATTTTCCGCGCGGAAGAGACCGTCGGAAGGGGAGCTCCCCTGTGTGCACAAGTTGCGCAATAGATGCGGCAAAAAGCCTCGACTGGTCATTGGCTTTTGACGTGAGGGGAGGTTCAGCGATCGGAATGAAGCAACAATCTGAACGAAAGGGAAGGACGGGATGAGGATAAGTGAAGACGTAAAACGAAAGCAGTGAAAGCGTTGTCTTGCGCAATGCATCACTAAGCGAAAGCTTTTTCTTGTCTCTTGACTCTCTCTGATCCATACACTCTTTCAGTGCCCAGATCAGGTCCGGTGGATGAGGGATGCCAGAAGTGGCGCGGTGGTATCTCTTGTCATGTACTATTGACGAACCGGTGGATTACAGTATACCCACCAAAAGATGTTTGTGATGGTGGTAGAAAGGTGGTGGTGGTAGCCTGTGTGTGTCATCGTATGAAAAACAGTTGTAAAATAATGGGGCCAAAGTGAATGAGACTAGAAGATTTTTCTAGAAGAGGACAAGTAAGTATCGGATAAGTGGAAATGAGGTTTGATGTTCTTAAAACGGAAGAGATGATGATTAACAAAAGTCAGAGATCTAAAGAGGCATCGAATGGTTTTAAGATCTTTCCAGGAGCATGGCATCAACGTGGCACAAAAGAAGAGGAAGAAGTAAATTGAAGAAAGTAAGTTTCTGAAAAGAAACAGATCACGGAAGTTTCATCTGAGCTCCATGGAGGCTTAATTAAATCTCAAAGGAAAAAACAGAATATGTGAGACCTATCCCTGAGCAAGGCGATGAAGGGTACTGTAGGAATAATAAGAACACTTAGTTGAGAATAAGAATGGAAAGCATTCAGGGTAGATAGGAAAAAATAAATGGATTCTGGAAGACCTCACCAAACTCGGTGGATGCAGGATGAGAGTGACGGAGGCACCAATCAGGAAGGCGTTTGCCTCCTCTCACCCAGGAAAGCTTCGGCATCCATCTCATCCGATGGGCAGAGAAAGTGAAGTGAGGATTGACGGAAAGTGAATGGGACACACAGGAAAAAAACGAAAGCGAAGGTGGGGGGATGATGGGTGGGACGTCGACGATACATATCGCGACAGTAACAAACGAAGGATTACGCAAGCGACGACGACGACGGCAGTGAGGCGAAAGTGGCTGGCCACAGGAGCGAAATCTAGAACTAGATGATGATGAGGCACCGTGCAGCCAGCCCTCGAATAGGAGGAAGACCAGTCAGACTTGGCATTCGTATTACGCGATCACCGGAGGGAGTGAGGGAGAAAAACGAAGGAAGATGTGGAGTGTGGACGGTAGAAAATGATTGGTGAAAGCTGCGGCTTTCCTTTCGATTTCAGCAGTGAGAGTGGGCAAGAAGTAAAAGCTGTCAGCTGTAGAAGACGAAATCTGAAAACAGAAAAATGAAAGTAGCAGAGATCTTAGCTTTGGAGAAAGTGAAAATGACACGGGAGCCAAGGGAAATTTGAGAGTTTCGAAGAAGGTAATCCTGGGGTCGAATAGATTGGGAAACCAAAACTGTTTTAGGTACGGGGCGAAAAATCTGTTGCCTAGAAACAAGAACTTCAAGCGAAAACTATAGTATACTATTGATCCAGATTAGAATGAACCGAGACGCTTTAGACTATCTGAAATATTTTTTCAAAAAAAAAAACCCACTACAGGATCTGGAAAATCTGGACCTACAATTTCTCACGAATTGTAAACTAATCTCAAAATTGAGAGACATCGTCGGAATACACTCTGGGAATAAATGAAACCTGTGATTTCAGTTCGGTTGGAGAGTAATCCAGATTC